GCTCTATTGAACAGATGTGGTTAAGTGTTAAAGCTAATGGTTTGAAACTTGCAATAGGTACCGCGTATCGTCTTTCTTGGTTTCACATCGATAATTTTATAAATGGTCTTTCTGATACAGTCACTTCATTCTCAGCCTATGACTACATTGTATACTCAGGAGATTTCAATATTAATTTGCTTGCACCTTCAGATCCTAATTCAAAAAAGCTCAATGATTTTCTTCTGTGTATGAGACTAAGACAGTACGTCACTCAAGCGACTCAGTTTACTGTTCACTCGGAAATTTTACTTGATTTGATATGCAGTACCTTTGACGTATCTAGTATACAGGTTGACTATGTGCCAGATCTGAGTCATCACGCATTTTTACTCGTGAGTTGAACGTAAAGAACCCAAAGCAATTCTCAACATGTATGACTTATAGACCAATTAAGGATATAAGCGTTTAATTCTGATGTTGATGCTGTACTGTGGGAAGAGTTTGCTTTGTGATGACGTAAACAGTTCTGTAACGGCTTTTAATGCACAAACATTGTATCTGTTTGATATTCATGCAGCAATAAGAACGTTTTACACAAAAAGCCATAGGTATCCGTCGATCACACCAACGATTAAGGAAATGTTGAAGCTAAGAGATAAAGCTAAATTCCAAAGGTGACAAAAAATATTATAAAAATCTGAAGAGTACTGTTAATGCTGCTATACTGAGTAAAAAAACAGCCTACTTTCGTTACTTTACTAGCTGTTCGCCGCGACTTCACCCGCGTGAAGTTATTTTTCGCGGAACCCTAAAATAAAAGCAGCCCAAGTTACTCCTTATAACATCAGCTATCTGCCAGTTTTTATAAATATTGACATTAATATTTATACGATACTAACGTCACTCAAATGTTTTGCCTTCCCGGAACCCCTCCACTAACACTTAAACTTTATGGTATGGTATTAAAGTTCAAATTGACTTTTAAGTATTACTAGCTTCTGTCCGCGACTTCGTACGCGGATCCTGTTGTTTATGCCAGCGACAACGGGGTCGTCAAAATCGAAGATCTGAAACGTCTGATGTTGAATTCTAAGAGCCCGGGCACGGGAAAACAACGTGATTCGCGAGACGATTCGAGACGTTCTAGATCTTTCATTTTTGTAAGTCAACAGGAAATGCCCATCAGACTAAACAACTCTTAAAGACGTCATTCCTATGTATGTTATAGTGTCGCTGGGCTTTGGATGGAGTGTAACTCCTTGTGTGTTATTAAGTTAATATATTGATAATATTGTTTAGATCACGTTCACATGAGGCTTAAGTACTTATAGAACAAAAATACTTCAGCGCAAAGCTTCCGGGTAAAGTATGTTGAAAGTTGACCCGTCCGGCACGTGAATATAAAGAAACCCGGGAAAGAGCGACGTACAACTGACCATGCGAGAAACAACTGACACCGAGATCTACTCCAGCAACACGAAAAGTCTGCCCTTGAGCCTTATTAATTGTCATTGCATAACACAATGATACTGGAAATTGCGTTCTTTTAAATTGGAATGGAAAATTATTTGGTATTGTGGGAATTCTGGGAATAAAGACGGTTTCTCCTGCACCGCAACCTGTTAAAATTTGAGCTTCGATTATATTTTGTTGCAACTGGGTTACTTTTAGCCGAGTTCCATTGCAAAGTTGTGGTGGTCTTAAATTTCGGAGCAGAATAATCGGAATGCCAATTTTTAAACAAATTTTATGAGAAGGAAGTCCGGGCATATTTAAAGAATTTAAAAATTCTATCGGGTAATTAGTGGCTTCTTGTTGATCGACCATTCTATTTATTGAACTATAAATTTTGCTTTCCCTCTGTATATTCGACAGTATTTTGTTATTAATCTCAGATGCCTGGTCATTGCGAGGAGTTAAAATGGATCTTTCGCATAGCCAAAAATTGTCCCTATTTAATATAATTGTTGCGTCACCGTAAACCGCCGATATAAGACGTGCTTGGGATTGCACTATACAACATAACTCAGGCGTCAGAATAAGTTTTCCTTGGTGTAGTTGTGGATAGGTACCTTCCCCAATCTTTAATAATTTATCAGAAAATTGACGATCATCCGGGTTATCTCCAGTTCTCACTCGCATGTTTATAGTTAGCTCTCGTTGAGAAGAACTTTGAGACGCCCATGATGTAGCTCGTCTCGCTCTGTCAGCTGCTAATCGCATCTCTCTTTCTGGAGAGCTTTCATTGGCTCGAGAAGTTGAGGCACTAACTCTCATAGAGTTTAACCGATGTGCTCTTTCCTCTGCCGATTCTTGAGAACGCACATTTCTCATTCTCTTAGCTTCTCTCGAATTTCGAGATAAAGATAATTGTTTTTTAGGTGGCATTATGTATTTTATTTTTAATCGACGGCATTCAGTTACCTAACAAAATAATCTACGTTAGAGGTCCTAACTATAGCTACCATACACTTAAAAAAATCTAAATGCCTACTTAAATAATAAAACGGATCATAAATAAATCCTTAAATCCAAAATTAAATTCTTAAAAATATATAAGTAGGTACCTAAACTACGTCTAATAGAATGAAATAACCTATTTGATACCTAGGTACCTATTTAAAACTACAGCTAAATAAAAAAAAGGTTTAATTTATAATTTAGCTAATACTAAGAAATATTTAAACACTACCAAAATAACTAATACCTATTTTATAAAATAACAACCAAAGAAATCTAAAAATAAATTATTAAACGTAAGAGTAGACTAAAAGTCGCGCTGATAAGCACGGTTTGTTAAAATCAATTATTGTCTGTCAATAAGGTCGAACACTCTGAACGTCTATTCGCATCAACAGCCAAATATTGTATGAAGCTCGTACTCGGATCGGACCCCCCGCCTTTTTATACCTCCCGCCGCGAGCCGCGTCGAGCGCGGCGACCGTTACACAAAAATAATCCTTATAGCATGATTCAGTATTCACGCGCGATGGCTTATTAGCGTATTTCATGTATAACTTTGGTGTTTCTATACCGATTTCTATGATTCTTTTTTATTGAATAGATAATAATGCTAACTTTTTTTATTAGGGATGATTGAGAGTGTTATAAACGTAAGAGTAGACAAATATAATCAGAAAGCTCCGAACTGCTAAGCTATCGGGAGTTACACGTGTTATTGTGAGTCAACCATAAAAGATAGACATATGCTGTCGTGGGACATTTTTTATATATTTAAGGAGAACATTTCCGTTATACATGATTTCTGTGTAGCTTTAACCATTAAGGCTGCACACGCGCGCGGAAGCTTAAAAAAGGAAGTAATTTCTCCCGTTTCCCCAACATTTACCTTCACTGCTCTGCTCCTATTGATCGTAGCGTGATGAAAAGTATACTATAACCTACCCAGGAGTATGAAGAATGATTGTACCAAGTTTCGTTAAAATCCGTCGAGTAGTTTTTGTTTCTATAACGAACATATAGACAGACAGACAAAAATTTTACTGTTTGCATTTTTGGCATCAGTATCGATCACTAATCAGCCCCTGATAGTTATTTTGGAAATATATTTCATGTACAGAATTGACCTCTCTACAGATTTATTATAAGTATAAATTACGAATCTTTTGTATGGGAATATAGAAAAGTGTTATTTTTAGACTTTTTCAGGCAATTTTTTAAATTTTTGTCTCCGTAAGAACCATCTTCGTACTTTAAGGAATATTATAAAAAAAGAATTAGCAAAATCGGTTCAGCTGCTCTCGAGATTTGCGGTTAGCAACACATTCAGCGATTCATTTTTATACTATAGATTAATTAATAACAATTCTAAAAATCCTCTTGTACTTTGAAGAAATGTAAAGAAAAATGTGGTAGACTTAAAAAAAAAGATATTGCTTTGCCATCAAACTTGAATTACCCTGACATCATAAATCATCATTTACTACACGTACCAGGAAGCAATAGTGTAACTCCTTCAACATTGTGCTATTTTGAATCTATTCGTTTTAATTCGTCGGTTTTTACTTTAAAAATAGTGGATGAAAATTTGGTATCAGAAATTTTTTAAAATATTTCCACAAATACCATGGGTGTAGATGGTATTACTAAAGATATGGTTCGCTTAATATTGCCACGGACTTTGAGTGCAATAACCACTATTATTAATACGTCTACACAGACAGGGGTTTTCCCAGACATCTGGAAGGAAGCTGTAATAAATCCAATACCAAAAAATAATTATTCTGTAGAACTAAATCATCTTCGACCTATATGTGTACTGCCTTTTTATCTAAAATCGCTCAAAAGGCTGTTTATATGCAATTAATATCTTTTATATCTAAACCAGAACAATATTTTACCTCTAAAACAATCGGGTTTTAGGGCTGGACTAAGCACGGTTACAGCGCTATTGAGTGTTGTCGATATTCTAACAGCGCAGGATAAAGGAGAGGCTACAATTTTGACACTGCTGGACTTTTCGCGTGCGTTTGAAACGATAAATACTACTTTAATTCTGTTGAAGTTAATGTATTATAGTTTTGACTGTAACGCATTATAATGGATTGAATTTTTTTTTATTGACATTACTATAGTTTAGCTTTGTAAATATGTATGCTGTGTATATATACTTGTTAGAAAAATCCATACAATACATCATGTGGGCCATTAATAATTAGAAATGGGTAGAATTGTTACTTAGTAACCTGCATTTAAGAGATACAGTTCTATCTGGCAGAGATCAGTTGTTAAGTGTAGATTTATTGACATTCTGTCCACTGGCGTAAACGGCCCAGACATTACTATTTTGGTGTTATGCTATAGAACTGATACTTTGTAATATCATTATTGTTTCCACTTTATACTCCACACCATGTTAGTGTTTCTTAATTTTTATCTTAGCAACTGTGGTTTCGTAAAAACAATATTATGGCATTACATATTGAGGAAATTCAGCCCATGCATCCACTACTACATGTTAAATTATCATCATAATTTATAAAAAAAAATTATTGCAGGTGGTAAGTTGGTTGCCCGCACAAGGCAAATACGAAGTGGATGATATAGACGAAGAACAGAAAAACCGGCACGTTCTAAGCAAACGACGAGTAGTGCCCCTGCCGTTAATGAGAGCGGATCCCCGCACTGATGAACAAGCTCTGTTTCCCAAAGGCGCCGTCGTAATGGCGCTATATCCACAGACGACGTGTTTCTATAGAGCAGTGGTGAATAGACTGCCAAGCTCCGCAGCCGATCCGTATGAAGTATTATTCGAGGTGAGCTGAAAGATGTTTTTATGTAAGCTGAAATAATTCAGAATTTTAAGGGAAATATATCTAGACTCTTAAATGTCCAGTCCAGGTCTCACAGGAATACTAGCCAATCATCAGCCTGTACGTTGCTCATAAGTCAGCAGAATTGTTCGCTTGAAAGCGAGAAAAAAATTCGCGTAAAAAATTCTTCCAAAGTTATTGTAATAAAAAAAACCTGTTACGATTAAACCACCCACACCATTTAAATGTTTGGTGGTCCACCACTGTGCGATTTACTAGTAGTTTTCTTCCACGCAAAACTTATTTGTAGAATCGTATACCACCGGCGATGTTTCCGATACGACTTAGGAATCTTCCAGAAATGAGTCTTCTTCTTTTCAAAAAGCCAAGGCGTTGCAATTGTTCATCGCCAGCGATCGACACTTATAATCAAGTGAGCCGCATGCTCGTTTGCCGCCTCTTCTCTAAAACAAGTGAAATTTTAAAAAAAATGATGTACCACGTTTTTTTTTTCATATTCTTACATTGTCATCCGATTCTGAGCTATGTTTAGAAGGAGAAGGAGACGTTTTTCAAACATTCTTGAGCCCGGGTGTTAATAAGACGAATGTAGGACCATTTGAAAGCTTACATATAAACAATTCATAGCTAAAAATCCGAAAAGATTTGTCAATCTAGGAGCTGAGTTATTAGAGAATGTAAAAGTGGGATTATGTTTTACCTACGCTGTGACAGTCGATTTTTCACTATATAGTAAATTTGAAGATACAATTATATTTATAAGGTGGCATACCCACTATTAAGACAATAGTCCATGATGTCAATATACAATGGAAAGGCTTGTGACGTATTCTAAAATAACAAAGCCGGGTCAGTCGTGTAAGCCAGATTTTTGGAGCCCAATAACGAAGCGAAGGGTCAATAAAAAAGCAGGATTGGTATAAAATAACTAAAAAAAACTGGTTTAAAACAACAACAAGTAACAAGTGAAGTGAATAGTAGGCATGTCGATCTGAGATCGATTACTTGAATTATTGTGGTTACTGTTATAACATGTGTTGATATTTTGTATTTTTTTATTATTTTGTAGATATGTTCGCAATTCTTTTTTTACTTCCCTAGATGACAAAAAACTTCGAAAATACAGCTTAAAATGCTCGATTTAATCGGGAATCGATTATATTGCGCTCGTTTCAAATTAATGCGAAAATCGGTTCTTTTTCTTGTTAGTAATTAGTTTTAAAGTTTGAACTGTCAAGTTTTAAAAACTATTTATAATTTTAATGTTTCTCGAATTCTAGATTGTAAAATGAGATACTTTTTTTGTATTTCACTTCAAAAAAATATAGCCAATTTATTAAAGTATAAACCTTGTTGTTTAGGCCCAAAAATCCCCTTCTTTTTTCACGTCTCTTGCTCTTCGGGAAGTTAGTTTAAAATCACTTACTAAATTCGAATTCGAACAGACATACACGAAAGCGAGTTAATAAAATAAAAATATGGCTGATTATTTGAATGTTATTGCAGGACTCGTCGTACGCAGACGGGTACTCGCCGCCGGAGCGCGTGGCGCAGCGCTACGTGATCGCGATCAAGGAGGGCAAGGGGCGCGCCACCTGACACCACTCGCGCGCCCCGCGCCCGCCCCCGCCACACGCACACGCCCCCGCCCCGCCGCAACCACAGCACCCACCCCGTGACACTCGCACCCACTCGCACTCGCCAGACTCCTTGCACTCGCTTAACTGAACCGTCGGGGATACGCTCCGATTACTAAATATAATATGTATTGTTTGCGACTGGCCGTTATTCTAAGATAGCCCTCACGTTTTCAATGACGTCTTAAAGAATCTATAGAAAAAGCTGCAAACTATACAACCACAGTAAACTGCACAGTTACGCTAGTATCTCATCCTCTAAGTGACCGCTATTGATGTAACTTCTGAAGTTTTAAGTTATTAATACATATTTGACAATAATTTGACCATATAAATCAAAAAGAATAAACACAATACTTTTTGAGGCGATATCAGTCTCTAACTTATTGTATACGATACCATAGTACCAGCTTTTATCTTATAAGTGTTTATGTAGGCTAATAAATACATAAACTAGAGTACTTATCGATATCGATATTTTACGAATTTAGCAAATAGATATCCTAAATAATCTTAGATATAGATTATTGGTATAAAATAAAACGAAAACTGTTCCTCACAATTTATACCTTTCTCTCTAAATCTTTTTATCTTAAACAAGGTGTGAACGGACATGATTTTAACTTAATATTACAAGTTTTAGTGAATTCTATTCAGCGTTTTGAGTGCTAGATAAGATTTACAAATAAAATAAATCTCAGTTGATGAAGTTTTTTTATTGTCATGTAAACCAAGTTTTCTTCTCTGCAGCCTATTATTTGAATCTGAAAATAAAATTTAATACGGATTGAGAAAAAAGGAGTCCTAAACGAAGAGCTTATGGTATTACTTGTTAAATACATTGCTAACATTATTTTCAATGCCTTGGTTTGAAACCCCCTCCCACAGTGACAGAATCCTCAAATTTAGGAGATATGATTTCAAACTCAACCCTGTAATAATATAGACATTTGCGAACATGTAGGCACTAATTTAGTTAGAATAAAATTTGGACCTCTACTGGAGAGAATTGGGGTCTTCAGTGGCAGGTAGCTCGAGCGAAGCGAGAGCAAGTGACGCAGAAGCTCCAATTCTATCCTACTTTAAGGTTTAAAAGGGCTTATTATATGAATATTATCCCATTTAATTTTCTTACCCTGAACTCTTATAAGGTCAGGGTGATATGCTGGAGAGCAAAACAGGCATAACCCTATGTATTTATTGTATTGTCATAATTATTTAGCAAAAGTATTTAAGTACCAATATAATTTATAGCCGACACTTTTAATGACCCTGGTATTTACACCATAATTTTCATATTTTACATTGTGTGTGTATTTAGATTATATTATATTGTATTTGACAAACTAGTTTTCATTTTAATAAAATTAATGGAAAATTTTAGTCAACTCGCCTGCCAAGTGTGGTAACCATGGCATTTTACAACGACAAAATCCCCCCTAAGCGACAATCAATGGGGAAGGTCTATGTTCAGCAGCGGACTATAGGATGTTTATATAAAGGATTAACTAATTAATGAAAAATTGAATAGAAAAATTACTGACGGCTGTCTTCGTATACTTTTAACGGAATCCCAGTCGTGATCTCATCTTCCGTAAACAACGTGGGATATGGATCTTGGTGAATACGAGATTTATTCGAGACAAAAATCAAGTTTTTGTGGCAAATTAACATTAATTAATTATAATAAATTAATGGTTCAATAAGGCTCGAGGCTTGGGCAAAAATATCGATATTTTAAAAGATATCGATATATATATCGTCGATACTTTAAATCGCAATATATCGATATTTATTTTAGAGTATCGAATTCGTTACAATTTTCAAATATTGTATTACTGACAAAACATGTAACAACAAAAGGAGGCACAAAAGTATTCATGTATGGTTGGCTGTTGTTTCTTTTTTTCGTCATCCACCCGCCAGTAATATAAAATTTTGTACCTTATCTTTACATCATGCAAATGATGACGATATGTCAATATTTATCACGCGATACATATTGATATATTTTTCTTCCTTGCCCATCCCTAGTGTCAGCGCTTGCCGTGTCACATGGGTGGACAGAAACGTCAAAATCAGTTATTTATTCAATAGCTGTCAAAATCAATTCTTGAGGGCCATAGACATAAAACGTCTATCATTTCTGTAGCGACAGATGGAGACGGTCGCCGATATACCTTGAGTCATTCTTCGCTCTCCAATTGGCTGCGGTTCACGTGATCTTGTACAGCTGTTACAATTGAAATGAAAGATATGCATACGCATGACACATAATTATATTATGTAATATATTGTTTTAATTATGTACATATATTATATTATTTTTATACTAAATTAAAATATTTGTATATTTAAATAAATATTTGTATATTAAAAATTTCAAAAAGTAGATAAAAATTTCAAGAAGTAGATAAAAATGAAGTTAACTTAAATCATCATCATCATTACAGCCCGTCACAAGTCCACTGCTGAACATAGGCCTCCCCCAAGGAATGCCACAAAGCACGGTCCCGAGTCACCTGCATTCATCGACTTCCTGCATGTCTTACCAGGTCGTCACTCCATCTAGCGGGGGGACGCGCTACACTTCGCCTGTCGGTACGAGGCGAGACTGCCACTCGAGAACCTTTCTTCCCCATCGGTTGTCGGTTCTTCGAGCTATATGGCCGGCCCATTGCCACATACTAATTTTTTGGGCTATGTCGGTTACTATGGTTCTACTGCGGATACCTTCGTTTTTAAGTCTATCACGCAGAGAAACACCGAGCATAGCCCTTTCCCTATCTCGCTGAGCGACTTTGAGCTTCCTCATACGGCCAGCAGTGAAGGACCACGTCTCAGATCCATAGGTCATCACTGGCAACACGCACTGGTTGAACAATCTAGTTTATGTCTAACGAGAAGATGTGTCGCAGTCTCCCGAACGCTGCCTAGCTGAGTTAAATCCGTCAATTGATCTCTCGGTCGAAGTTGGACTTACCTAGTCGGACTATTTGTCCCAAGTAAACATATTCGTCAACAACTTCGAACTTCGTGCTCCCAACAACTACCACTATTAAGGTCATTGAGCATAGTGCTTAGGTCCTCCAGCGATTCTGTCATAAGGACTATATCGTCGGCAAATCGGTGAGTGATGTACTCGCCATTGATGTTAATACCGTATCTTTTTCAGTCCAGTAGCTTGAAAACGTCTTCCAATGCAGCGGTGAAGTTTCGGGGATATTATATCACCCTGTCTTACACCTTGTTGGACAGGTTTCGTACTCTGGTTCTGTATTCGAGTAGCCATCGTAGCCCCACTGTACAAATACTTCAGCACTTCGATATACCGACAGTCCATGTGGCACCGCTGGAGGGACTGCAGCACCGCCCAAATTTCGACGTAATCAAAGGCTTCTCATAGTCCACATACGCAAGACAAAGTGGCAGATTGTACTCCTCGGTCTGCTAAAACCGGCTTGTTCGGGAGGCTGGAGGTTCGTAGAGTCTGCATGCGAGACGATTCGTAATGACTCTCGAAAACAGCACGTAGACGCGGCTCACAATGGAAATCGGTCTGTAGTTCTTTAAGAGAGCGTTGTCGCCTTTCTTGCAGAACAAGACCACCGCAGTTCTGCTCCATGTCTCCGAAGTAGTGCCTCCATGAAAGACGGTATTCAAGAGCTTCTGAAGGACTTTAAGTACCGGTTTTCCACCCGCTTTCAGAAGCTCCGCTGTAATTCCATCCTCGCCCGGAGACTTGCCGTTTTTAAGGTGCTTGGAGAGCCATTCTAATCTCGCTCAGACTGACGTCCGGGATATGATTGGAATAGTGTCGGGTAAGACTTGCTCTTAGATCGTTACTCACACTTGCGTGTGGCTCCAACGATGACGTGTACAGCTGCCCATAGAACCTCTCAATCTCACTCAAAATCTCAGGTGTCTCGGAAACGATGCTACCACATTTGGTCTTCAGCTTCGACAGTTGGCACTTTCTGGGAGACAGATCTCTGGCAAACACTTTGGAGCCCTGGTTCCGCTTGATCGCTTCTTCAATACGAGCAGTAGTCCCACCGCATGCATTTGGAGATCTGTCTGTTCAGTTGCCTGTATGCTATCAAATCTACTGAAGACTACAGCTTCATTTTACGTCTAATAGCCATGAGATTAAAAAGTGTGATCGGAGAGTTTTTTGTTCTTCTGCGGCGGATCTTGCAAAACTTAGCTCCGACCGCATGGACAGTTTCGTGGAAACTGTCCTGGCGGGTGAAAGCTTGTCATTCATATCGTCCACTTCATTGCAATCTTTTAAGCACTGAAAGCGGTTTTGTAACTCGAGCTAAAAGGTTTCGGGTCTTTGGATTAGAGCACGAGGGGGACGGGGCGTTGACTTCATTAGACGACATCTCTCCAACTTAACGTTTAGGTTCAGTGTGCCTCTAACCATTCAGTGATCGCTACCAGTTTTCACCCTCGCAATCACTGAGACATCACTGAACAGTTGTCGTCTGGTCGTCATAATGGAGTTAATCTCATTTTTTATCGAACCGTCGGGGCTCGACCAGGTCCATTTCCTGTGGGGCCACTTCTGGAAGAAAGAGTTCATCATAAAGAGTTCCTCTTTCTCCATGAAGTCGGTCAGCTGTTGGCCTCTTGGGTTCCGTTGCCCTATTCCGAATTTCCCTACTTTCAGCTCACCGTTCTCTCTTGTGCCTAGTTTTGCGATGAAGTCTCCCATTAACACCGTATAGTGGGTTTTGGAGGAATGTATGGTTCTAGAGATATCCTCATACATTTCCTCCACATCCTCATCGGGATGTGTCGAGGTTGGTGCGTAAACCTGTATGACCTTCAGCTAATACCGTTTGGTGATTCTGAGTATAAGGTACGCAACCCTCGTCGACACACTCCCAATTTTTATAACGTTGTTAACGAGAGACTTGTGAAGGATAAATCCGGCACCTCCTTGGGACAGGTGGTCGCCCTTCCGGTGATAGACCAAGTTGCCGGATTCAAGGGTTACCGTGTCTTCCCCCTTTCTTCGGACTTCGGATAATCCTATAATATTCCAGCGCAACTTGTCTATCTATTCTTCCAGCTCCAGGATCTTCTCGTCAGTCCTCAGGGTGCGTGCGTTATAAGTTGCCAGGTCGAGTCGTCTTAGGTGGCAACCGAACCTCCACCGGAGATTCTTAGCACCCCCTAGCCACTTCTGAAGATATCTATTTGCATTTCTGAATGTTGGTAGTTGATTATTATGTAAAATAAATAAAACAATATGATTAATGCAACTGTTTATTCTCTTAATCTTATAACCAAAAATAATCATATTAAAATAATTTATGATATTATATTACATAATGTATTAAAGCTTCTACATAACAATTGTTCGAAAAATAATTTTAATATAACCGTAACTGACCAGTCGTTATCACTTTCAACTCCAAGCTTACAATACATTGTATATATACAAATATACGTTTAAAACAAGCAAATAAAAAGATGAAGGATGTTATTTATAAATATCTAGAATGTTAACGTCTAATACGATACCCAAAAATCGGTGATGCCGACGCCGGTACCAGGAGCTTGCGGCGATATTTGTTTTAAAGCGTGCGTTTTCGTGTATTATTTAGCTGTTTTAAGAAAAAAAAGTTACTTAATATCATAATTTATGCCCTTAATAAGTTAATATTCTCACCAAGATTATTTTTTACAATTTTTTACATGACAGATAGTGCCTATTTTCAGACAGTCCCTCTAAGCAGCTCAGCAGACAATGCAGACATATATTGTTGAAAAGCGTCTTGAAAATCTTTTCGGTATTTCTGATATTTTGGAAGAAACTATTGAAGACAAAGATATATGTGTTCAGTACATTCTCTAACAAAAATTTTAGAAACCGCCTTTATCATATCAATCTACTAAGAATCTTCTCACAATTATCTAATTCAGATAGATGACACTGTGCAGGATAATATTATTGAAACAGAAACTCCTATTGGTACATCGCTCAAGGCTAATTAGAAATACCAATGTAGCAAGAACCAGACTACCAGGATAGTGGAAATTAGAGAAAAGGATACAAAATGTTCCAAATCAATCCAATTCAACCACAAATCAACAAAATCACAAAACTCCATCTTTTTAAGTTTTTGTAAAATAAAATCTGAATATTTAGTACGAGTATTAGTAGTGCAAAGGAATAAATGCAAGTCAGCAAAACAGTAACATAACTTGATTTGGTTGAAACCAATCTTGTCGGCCTCAAGCACAGGCGCAGAGTAGCCTGTCTCTCGGTATTCTATAGGATGCATTTCGGTGAGTGTGCGCAGGAATTACACGCTTTATTCCTCCCTCTCCTTTCCACCATCGGACAAAAAGGCGGTCGGCGTGTCTGCATCCCTTTGTTGTCGATATTCCACGCATTAGGACCAAACGGTTTGCTTCATCTTTTGTAATGCGCACAGCAAAGGAGTGGAATAATTTGCCGGCGTCCATCTTTCCGTCCGAATACAATCTGGGCGTCTTCAAGGCAAGAGTGAATAGGCTTTTGTTACGATAAGACAGTGCGATTTACTATCGAAGGCTGCATCACCACTTACCAGTAGGTGGGATTGTGGTCAAGCACCGACTTATAATAAGTAAAAAAAAAATTATACACCAGTATCAGCAGAGCAAATGAAGGCTTAACTTGGTTTATTGACTATGATGGGCCTAAACCCATTATCTAATATGGAGCTGTATTGGTCAAACTATCTTTTCTACAATTATGAACAAATATCAAAAAGTTATGCCTTTTAAAAAATTTAAACAAATTTGAAAATTTACGCATAAATGATAAGGAAAAGGAACTAAAAGTAACTAACCCGAATATGACAAATTGTACAAGAAGGCCAGACAGGAATGAGACCTATGAACATGATAAAGGGCTCCAGCAGGAAATAGCTGATTCTAGTGCACAATCTATATGGTTGAATTTCAAGGGAGATCCGCATAAAACTATATATGCCAAAGAAGCCGATTTAAGGTGGAATTAAGGTTTGGGTATGTTGTCAAAACTGTGTATTTCTATACAGAATGTCCAGTAAATACGAGGGCGACACTGAAAGTTTTTAGAACTGTCCACTTGTAAACGATATAATAAAAATTAAGTTCAAATTTGAAAATGGAACTTTTTGCTAATATTATTGTGTATGTATTTTATTACTTTGTCATTTGTTTACACGATTTGGCGGCAAATTGAAAATTGTCTGTGTCACGTCAGCATGAATTTAACGCGAGGAAATTTTCGTATCTTCCCCGACCTTATATTTAAAAACGTTTTTACAAGCGGATTTTTATAAATAATCTTTAAAATCGAAATGTTTTCAAATTTGAATTTTCATGTAGAGGCATTTTTTTTTTAATAAAACGTTACCCCCACACTAGGATTTTCTCCTGTGTCGTGGAGGCAGTTTACAAACATAAATTGCACAAGGACAAACATCCAGACCCGGAACAATTATTTGTAGGCTATACAAATACTTGTTCCGTGCGGGATTCGAACCCGCGGCCCCCAGCGCAACAACTGATTGCTAAGCCACTGCGCCACGGATCCGTCTATACAATAGATCTTTGACTAGAAAACTATAAAATCTTTTACTTAATTTCGACGTTAAACCCCAAAAACCAATAACAAAATACTAACAATAATGATAAAAATTTATAACAACAAAGAAACTTGAAACGAAATCAGCGAAACAGCGATTTGAAGCACAAATATATTTAAATAAATTAGTTTTACAATATGGGAGAAAATTCTAAAAAACGAGGTACCTTTTCAAAAAATTTAAAAAAGATACTTAATGGATTTCAATAAAACATTTCCCTTTTGATTATTACAAATACTTAATTACATTGCCTTTACCTATTCAATAAAAGTTAGGCCTTTTTTTCATTTCCCTAGCAAACTCTCGCACTCACTGACGCATGTGTCTCTACAGTGTTGTCATGTGCCACACACTCTTTAACTAAATGTTGGCTTTACAGTGTTCTTACCGCGCGCTCCATCTGCCTTTTTTTCCTTAAGGCGGTACTTCTAGCACAGAATAAATAATAGTACAAGAACTAGCGAACAAACTTGCTGATTCGGTCCGCCCCTGCCTCGCCACTCCGCGCCACCAGCACACAGCTATTTTATGAAAATAGATTAAATAAACAATATTATCTAATGATAATGTGACGTGAGCGAGCATGTGCGCTGGCCGACGTGGTTACAAACGACACAAGTTTCACCCTCGAGCTGACTCCCACTATCCCGCGAGCAGTGAATACGCTCAGATTTTAAAATAATTTCTTTGAAAAATCAAATTTTGGTCTCTTGAAAAAATTAAATTGAGCAAAAGGTTAATTAATAAATTGACTACCCATTAGTGTCAATCGCAAAATAAAATAATGCTTACTTCACAAGGAGATGCATTATATCCGTTAAGGTTGTGAGCCAATCGCAATAATGCTATAGTTTTGTATTCTCTATATTTGCCATGTGTCATAACAAAACATATTAAATAGCCTGTATTATGCAATGAAAGCAATTTTAAAAAAAAAATCTTTTTTCATTTTTCTTAGTAAACTTTTAAAAAAATATTAAAAAACATCAATATGCGTTGAGCTTTGAAATTAAGAGTACCTTTAACCGACGAGCATGCATCTTTGTTTGGGTGTATGGACGTGAAAGAAGTGAAGGTGTTTCAGGATCGTGCCAAATGGAAATCCCTGCCTATCCCTCTGAGTGACAGGCATGTTTTTTTTACTTATTATATTGGTAGAGCCATGCTGCAGCTATGTTAGTAGTGTAGTTGTATGCGTGGTAGAGCCATGCTGCAGCTATGTTAGTAGTGTAGTTGTAGCACGAATGGGTCGGCTCGACCGGGGAAGGACCACGCTCTCACAGAATACCAGCGTAAAATAGCAGCTTAATGCTGCTGTGTTTCGTATGGTGAGTGTAGAGAACCGGAGACCCTTTTTACTGGAAAAGAGGCATTTCATCTTAGTCCTCAAGGCTGACAATGCATCTGCATTTTGATAAATGTAGATGTCTATGGGCCACAGCAACCACTTACCATCAGGTGGACTGTGTGCTCGTTTGTCACCCTATTTCTATAAAAAAAAAAAAAAAAAAAAAAAAAGCCAGTGCTTAACCGCAATCCCACCTGGTGGTAAGTGATGATGAAGCCCTAGATGGTAAATCGCACTGGCTTAGCATAACAAAAGCCTATTCAATTATGTTTATGAATATTATGTATTATTAATAAAACTTGTAATTTACATCAAGTTTGTCTATATGAGAGAACCGTAAACTTCGTCAATAACTAAACAATATCCCGCTTTAGCTTCCGCAAAAACTGGCCTTCAGTCAGGCACCAACATAAGACCATATAACTGTAAATTATAATACACGCACAGTGATACATATAGAATATAGGCCCACTTTAATTAATCTGTGACATTATTATAAAATCTTCTATCACTTAATTAAACACAGAGAATCAGGTTTAATATTTATTTTTATCCACATGTACTGACATGGCTACAAATAAATTATACATGTTCACTATTTATGCTATCTTATATCGATTTATTTCAATCTTTGGGTAAATATAAAAAAATATATAAATTACAGTTATGACCAAAACACGCTAGACTAATTTACGGTACAGAGGTCGGCGCATATATTCTTTTTAAATACATAAAAGAATTAAAATAATTTAATATGATAAGAATAACAATAAACAGCAAATATAAACTCACTTAATACTAAATAAAGATGTCGCCTCGCACGTGGCCCACAAATACCGAATTTAAGGGATAGGTAACAGCGGCTGAAGTCCCGGGAACAACACAATATTTTTATCAGTAAATATTAAGCAATATATAATGATTTGGGCAGCCCTGACTTATGGAATGCCTCATTTCCAGAAATAAGGGTCCCTGATTCTCTACACTTACCATGTAAAACACAGCAGTACTAAGCTGATATTTTACGCTGGTATTCTGTGAGAGCGTGGACCTTCCCCGGTCGATGCTACAACCATAATATAGCTGCAGCGTGGCTCTACCACATATAAAACACAATATTTAAATCGAATAGACGAACAATAAATATGAAAGGTTTGCTTAGGAGCGTAGGTGAGTGGTGGGTCATCGTGGCTCACCGCGAGCTGACCCGTGCGAGGCGCGTGCGGTCGAACGAGCAGATGGCCTGCAGCAGCGCGCCCCGGCCCTCTGACGCACAAGGCTTTGCTGCAGAGCCGTCCCCGCTTGTGTCGCCCGCTGCAACAACACACTTTACAACTACGGATCGCCGAATCGGGTTATTTTTCAAAGAGAAGCCAAATTTTAAACTTAAGTTGAGATATATAAAAAATTATATACCATTAATGCGCTGTTTGAAAATACAAGTAAATCAGGCTTCTACTTTTATCTGAAATGATCCCAAATTGTATGTGATTTATGGGCAACATCGTTTTTGCTCACCGATCGACCCTTACAAATGTGTGCGTGTGCAGTAAAATCAGTTAAAATAATGCATTATTATTAATCCAGGCATTTTGAATTTAAAAGATAAAAAGGTCAGAATGTTTGAGATTTTTTTTAAATTAATTTTTCTTCACCATTTGTATCACTTATTCTGAAACCTTCTGTGCAAATTTGGACAGTTATTGCAAAATAACCCTGTATACATAAAAATGTTGTGATTTAAAGTTTCTATTCCAGTATTATCGTTTAATCAGTGATTTAAAGAGGATTTTACTACGTAAAAGTACTCTACCATGTAGTGGCGGTGTAAAAATATCAGACTGTGGGTGTCGTTAAGAGGCGACAGAGGGAAACAAACCAGGAGATGGGTACAAGCGTCTTCCCAATAACTAAAAATAATATTCTGCAGTTGCCAACCCTAGGTGGGTTAGTGGGTGCCAAGCGTAGCGAATATGGCAAATATGCCCCAATGAGGCAATAGGCTGTAAGCTGTTGCGATAACAGTGATTAATACGATTTTGTGTATTATATGTCAACTATAGTAATGATGTAACAATGGTGGTATAAATTTGTAATTAATTTTAATTAAGTATTTTATAGACTTAGACGCCTTGGCATACTAACGTCATCAACTCCCGCTGGGTTAAGCTATCGTCAAAATCATCACAAAAACTTCTTAAGTACAAACGCAACAACATATTGTGAAGAATTATGTGAACAAAACACACATCAAACTAGGTCGTATGGTTAAATTTTGCCTGTCGTACTAATTGGCGAAATGTAACTACAACTGCAATAATTTTTTGTTGAACTTTTACGATAACATGATTCACTTTTTGTCTAAATAGCAGTACATATATGCATTACTCAAGGTAGTTGAAAATGTGTGCATACACAGATAAAAATAAAAACGATTCAGTGCTAAAATATATATCATAACAGCCTTTTTAGATTTACCAATACTCACAATACTGGATGGGCGAGTTGTCCAACATACCTTACTTAGCTACCAGCGAGTAATCAATGTATTCTAACATTTCGTGATTACGGAATAGGCGGATTATTAATGCGAAACTAACGACATGAACGTAAATCGCCGTTTCCACCCCGTATCTACCAGCCAATTCAGACGCTTAAGTGCAATAAGTACAATTGTGCATTTTTTCCAATAATAAATCTAAACTAAATACAATAAGTAATGGTATCAAACCAATACAGGACTCACAAAGCGCGGGCGGAGTGGGCGAGGAAGCAGTACTGGCGCTTTGCGACCGGACCGTCTCAGCTAACGACGACGTCGACTTCCACAAGCTGTCACGTTTCTTCTGCAACCAACATAGAGAATTTTTTCGACGAAGCGCAATAGTAGGTTTTTTTATAGGATAGGGTGACAAACGAGCACACATTCCATGTGATGATAAGTGATTGCTGTGACCCATTGACATCTACATGTACCCTCAATAAAGAATCAAAATGCAAATGCCTCTTTTCCAGTAAAATGGGTCTCCGGTTCTCTACACCACGGAGCAAATACAAAGAGGAGGTGTTGTAATTAGATTTCACTATGTAACAACGCGTGACAATTGGCGGGGTGAGGGGATGTTAAGCCCCGCCCACTTTACTATTTTCCATCTACCGATAAATAGTAAAACTATTCGCATCGTCCCATATAGATATTGCAATGTAGTTTAGCTACCTTGACGATAGATGGCGGCCTTTTTTACAAAATGATTATAAAAACTATAAAAATAATATTTTGGCGATTAAAAATTCTTTACGACTGAATGCAAAACAAATTTCAACACCTTTGTATGATTATTAGAGCTCTACGTAACTTTATATTTTTAGTTCCCATGGCACAAAGTGTTGCCATCTAGTGTCGAATATATTTAATTACATTTGAAAGCCGACGCAGATTTTTCTAGAACCTTTTTAATAAATTAGGTATAAAATTACTTACAAATAAAATACGATGCCATCCATAGCATCAGAACGTCTGTCTGAGTACTTTTTGCACGATGAAACATAACACTTCATCCTTTTCTTCTTAATACTACAAAATACACCGATTTACGATTTTCGACACATAAGCGCACAGGACAAACGCTGACAGTATACTAAGTAAAGCCACGCCCACTGTGATGACGTCAGGACCTAGTTAGAATCACAGTGCACAGTTGCTTATGCCATCTTCTCTTTGTATTTGCTTCGTGCTCTACACTCACCATACGAAACACAGCAGTATCAAGCTGCCATTTTAAGCTGGTATTCTGTGAGAGCGTCGGTCGCCGGTCGAGCCGACCCATTCGTGCTACAACTATACTACTAATTTAGCTACAGCATGGCTCTACCACGTATAAAACCAACAAACCAAACACCTCAAGAAGTCACTTTGAATGACTAACAAATATTTTTACATATTGCAGGAGAAAATTTGGGTGGTGGCGGTACCTATATACAAGCCAAAAAGCCCGGCATGTCGTATTAACCGAAAGTAAATTGATAACGAGTTAATATTTATTAAATTTGTCGCAATATGATCTGTAACAATTAAAAATTATGTCAAACATGATACACAGCATGTATAAATAAGAAAAAAATGTAATACGAACATGTTTGTGTTAAAAAAAGCAAAGCAAAATTATTTAGCAAATGCCAAATACCGGTAGAAGAACATGAATTCATTGAACCATAATGAATGATATTAATAATTTGTGTAATTTTGTTTGGTAGCAATTAAAATTTTGTACACTATTTCGTCACTACCGAAAGAGATTTCAAAACATAATTCGCGCACTGACAACAATTGTGGTGTTTTGCACAGTTTGATAATGTGTACTACTTGCCTTGAAGTTGCTTTGAATTTAATTACATTCCATTCATTCCGCTGCCAAATCAAAATATGTTACCTACTCTCGATAGAAATCTTCCTGTTAACACTCTATTGTAGAGAGTAATCGGGCATAATCTTCCACGAAGCAAATACAAAGAGGAGATGGCATAAGCAACTGTGCACTGTGATTCTGACTAGGTCCTGACGTCATCACAGTGGGCGTGGCTTTACTTAGTATACTGTCAGCGTTCGTCCTGTGCGCAGGTCATATTTTCGTAGTATTAAGAAGAAAAGGATGAAGTGTTGTGTTTCATCGTCTAAAAACTATTCAGATAGACGCTCTGATGCTATGGATGGCATCACATTTTATTTGTAAGTAATTTTATACCTAATTTATTAAAAAGGTTCTAGAAAAATCTGCGTCGGCTTTCAAATGTAATTAAATATATTCGACACTAGATGGCAACACTTTGTGTAATGGGAACTAAAAATATAAAGGTACGTAAAGCTCTAATAATCATACGAAGGTGTTGAAATTTGTTTTGCATTCAGTCGTAAAAAGTCAGCAAAAATATTATTTTTATAGGTTTTATAATCATGTTGTGAAAAGGCCTCCATCTATCGTCAAGGTAGCTAAACTACATTGCAACATCGATATGGAACGATGCGAGTAGTTTTACTATTTATCGGTAGATGGAAAATAGTAAAGTTGGCGGGGCTTAACACCGCCTCATCCCGCAAATTGTCACGCGTTGTTACTTTTTTGAATGAGAATTTGCATGTTTGTAATTTTATTTTATTTTGAAAATTTACTAAATATTATTAAGCAAAATTAAAAAAAAAACACGAATTTTCTGCCACCAGGGCGGCGCCACTTACAAATGAGGTGAAATATTTAACTGATTTCATAGCGAGGAAGTTAATTTATTCGAAAAATGTAAAGGTTAATGTTTCTTTCTGTACTATTAGTTATATTTTATATCAATTAGATTAAAAATAAGTAATCAAACCATATATATTCATTAATATAGAAAAACTAAAAAAAATTGAGTTAAAAATGTGCAACAAATTAAAGAGCTAACTACTGAGGTATTGTTTTATGTATTAATATAATACTCTAAAACTGATAAACATTTATCTAAAACTAACTTCTCAATTAAATGACATTGTGTAATAAAAAAACTTTACGTCAGTGTCAACTAGCGACATCTAGTGAGCGGAAGATTATTAGCCCGCATTTGTGTTATAAGACAGCAACAAGAATAGGAGACGACAATAGCAAATTCTAAAAAGTTCTTATGGCCTCCGGTAGATCTTTTATTTATTTATGGCAGATATAACATACTCAGGTTAGCATATACAATAGTTGAGTTTGTCTTATGTCAAAACACCAAGCATGCCACTGGTGAAGGTATTTTCTTTTAAATGAATAGGTAATAATTTTCCGACTGATGGCAGTGTAGGAGGCCATCGACCAATTTTAGTGATGGTAGCCAACAAATATACGTAGTAGAGTTACGCAGCAGCTATATTATGGCTGCAGCGGAAGGACCACGCCACCACAGGATAGCGGCGATGGATAGCCGCTTAATACTGCTATTTTGTACAGCAATTGTAAATAACCAGGTGATCCTATGTCACAGTCACAAAAACTTCAATAAAAAAAATCATACTACTAACCGCTCTCCGTTTCTGCTTCTTCATCTCTTGTTCTGAACTTAGTATTTCCTGAATTCTTACTTCTCTCTTTGCACTTCTTAACTAAAAGTAAAAATGTTAATTATATTAATACCATTAAAATTTAAATAAGTATTGACTAAAAGAACTTTAATCACAGTATAAATAATAGTACAAGAACAGTAGAATCACTGTCTGATACGAAACTTGCCAGTTTAAACCTAGTTACAACGTCACTAATGTTCATAATACTTTGCACGCCTCGGATACGACGTTCGTTAAAATAGCCTACCGACTGTTGTGGTGCGCGTATTAAATCAAAATGCACCTTACGTCCACGTACGAGTCTGTATCACTTAGCCCGTTACGCGCCTTTGTTAATGCCGCTCCTACTATAGGGTTAGGTGTTGTGAGGAAACAAATTGAATTCTTTGATATTAGTTGATAGTAGTAAAATACACCGATAACATTGTTGTTCAATGTGAGGTTAATATGCAACATCTAGAAAAATTAAGATTATAAGAACGTGAACGACTTTCAAACTCAAATAATTTACCTACTTAGCATTTTCTGTTTCACATTTTTTGCTATTTACAAACATGCGACACGCGACGGCATTATTAATGAATGAGTGGCAATAAGAAGTGCTGCTATGTTCAATCTCTTTCCTTATTGACCAAGCTTTTAAATAATAACCAGTATAATATGCTGATCTTGCATTACCTAGTATATATACCTAGGAGGTCTACTTACACTAAAATATTATTTAAGGTCATTGACATTATACGCGAAATAATCGGAAACTGCGAAGCTGAAGACGGGTCGCTTATCACATAAATCTAATACTAAATCTGTAACTAGGGGGTCAGTAACTAGCTACCTTAGAGTAATTACACATAGAGTGATAGTGACATTCAAAATTCCGTTTAAAGTTGAAGCAACAACACAATGAATGTGTGCATAAGCCGTCTGTAATTACGTCTGTAATGACATTTTCCCCAAAAAGTGGGGAAAATGTAATAGTAGACATCGTCATAGAATTAATATTTAGGTTGTGTTTATAATTATGTATTAACTATTTGCAAAGAGAAAAAATGTAACATTATTTATTTTTGTCAACTTATGTAATATTTAAATAATTTATATACGTGATATCTTGTGCTATAATCACAAATCTAATATGTAATTATATTATTCTGTTAGAAGTGGTATATTTATATAAATATCTGTTATTTATCATCCATAAAACCTTCTATTATTGGTAAATATTAATTTTTATATAATACTCAATGGACTTATTCTATGATATATAGAGAAGTGGAAGAAATTGAGGAGGCAAATGCCCACGTCCTTATCTTCCAGTTTTTCCAATCCAGTCTCACTTATACTTAAGAAGTAAGTAATTGTCAGATAATCATTTTAGCTGTCAAATATTTTTTCATTAGTTATTCCTTACTAACTGTGGCTGTGGCCCGCGGCTTCAACCGCATATCAAAGCATACACTGATCTCGATTCTTGCCATTCTAAGAATCTACGTGATATATTTAATTTAAATCGGTTTCAACGTAAAGGTTACAACATACAACTTTCACAGAATGGATATAATATTAGAAGGATTCACGAGACTTAAGAGTGCGGTCAGCTTCAAGCGATTATTATTATTACTTTATTGCATATTATGAAGAAGGAAAGAAATAAACTATTGAAATAAAACATGAAATTAAAAATGTTTCTTAAATAATATAAAATAAAATAAAATATACTTAAAAATACTTATAAAAATATCTCTCAATGACCCTGAAACTGCAACTGTTTTCTAAACAACTGCCGCTTTGATGACGCTATCCTCAAAATGTTATCTTTTTTTACATTCATAAAAAAATCGAACTAAACATGTTAAATATATGTACATTAGGATAAAAAAAACAATCATAGAATAAAAAATTATAATAATATTATTTATCCTAAAACACCTACCATAAAAAGGTAAAAACAACTGCACATTATCAAAACAAAATAAAATCAACACATTTTTTTCGTGGCAAATGGGAACCCTAATAATATTTGGCAAATAAAAATACCTATTTATATGTGAATGAGACTATTAGCAGTATGTATGTATTTTTTCCAATATGCATTTTTTATAATTATAGTAATAAGAAAAAATGGGGTAAAATATTTTACTATGCCTAGCAACATTCTCATTATATTGGCGTCTGTCAGATTCATTATTTATTATTTTCTTTTGATGAATGTTTTTTACAAAACTATAAGATTTTAGGCAGTACTTAACCGTGAAATGAGATTTTTACATTTTTTTCGTGATTATGTGATGAGTTGTGACACCCTTTCACAGTACAGTACGCCATTTTTTGAAAAATTGTGCGAGCTGTTTACACGACTACGTGGACTCGAGTACTAACGCGTCAAAAGTCGTACTTAGCCTTTAAAGGCTAACTTGAAATGGCTTCACTTTGCGTGCGCCTACTGCGGTTCTAAGCCTAATACTTCTATGCTAGCTACCTAATTATCTAGATCTACATATAAATAATACCTTTATCTATATATTATATCTTATCTTTTGGTATCCTCAGGAACAGTTCTTGTACTATTATTTATTCTGTGGGAACAGTAAAGAATGAAAAGTCGACATTCCTATTGTTATTTAAGCACCTGTAAGCTACGCAGTACCTTTTGGCTTTTTAGAGGCTATACTTGAATAAAAAAATTAATATCAAAAGTGCTTAATTACTTATAAGAGAAAAATACTTTTTTGTGAACGTAAGGCGCGCGTCAGCTCGATCGCGTGCGTGTCAACCTCACGGAATTAGCCCCTTGTAGGGGGACGCGGAGGGTTAGCATATTTTCATGCCTTCTTTTTTTATAGGATAAGGGTGACACACGAGCACACAGTCCACCTGATGGTAAGTGGTTGCTGTGGCCCATAGACATCTACATCTATCCTCCATGACAAATCAAAATGCAGATACGTTGTCACCCGTGAGGACTAAGATGGAATGTCTCTTTTCCAGTAAAAAGGGTCTCACCGTATGGTATGGGTTTTTCGTATGAAACATGGCAGTGATAAGCTGCTATTTTACGTTGGTATTCTGTGAGAGCGTGGTCCTTTCCCGGTCGAGCCGACATTTCGTGCTACAGCTATATTACTAATATAGCTGCAGCATGGCTCTACCACGTTAAAGCTCTGCCAGGCCTGCTTTAACTAACAATTAAATTATTATTAACATTAATTAATGTTATTAATATTTGTATAAAACTAATTTTGTTAAAATTTTTATTTAAGAAGTCATTATTATTTGTACAGCATGTAATGCAACGTACAATTATCAAGTCAACATTTCACAACTTGACCTCTTTTACATATTTCCGCGGCAAATGTCTTTTATAATTAGTTCGCAAATCAAGATCATCTAGATCGCGACGCGTACTCATTATCAGTAGATCTAGCCTCTTAAATTGTAAATTATTAAACTATCTTTATATTGTGGCAGAGTCATGCTGCAGCTATATTGGTAGTATAGTTTTAGTAAGAATGAGTCGGCTCAATCAGGGAGGGACCACGCTCTCACAGAATACCAGCTTAAAATAGCAGTTTAACACTGCTGTGTTTCGTATGGTGAGTGTAGAAAACCAGACCCATTTTACTGGAAGACATTCCATCTTCCTCACGGGAACACCTCACGGGTGACAACGCATCTGCATTTTGATTCAATATTGAGGATAGATGGTAAGTGGTTGCTGTGACCCATAGACAACTAGTCTATGGGTCACTGCAACCACCTCAGGTGGACTTTGTGCCCGTTTGTCACCCTATCCTATAAAAAAAAACAAATCCACAATATATTTTTGTCAAAGTTATTGTCTTTGTTATTTGTATACATCACCTCATGCCTAATTCTTAAATCAATTGGTAAGAACTACAACTAAAATCGATCAAATCAAAATTAAAACAAAAAAAAAACAACACAAAATTTCACTGTACCAGTTTTTGGTCAGCTTTCAATCGCAATTCGACAGTGGTGATAGCCTTCTTGAGCTCTTCCTTTAATGGTAACGGAAATTTGAGATGTGTGCGAGAATCAACATGTGACGCCAAAGTAAAGCCGTTGAGAGTTGCACGCGTGAAAAACGGATGGTTCAAAAGCAAATGCAACGACACTCCGCCATGCCTGCAAAACGTTGACGAGAGGCATAGTCGGAGGACCGATTCTGAAAACAATATATTATTCTTTTATCAGTAATAATAAAGTTCGTATAATGATGTCTTAAACGTCTTTTATTAGTAACAAGCGATTCGCCCCAGCTATGTAGGGGTGACTTTTGAATCACGACAATAGCGTCACCTACCGGGTGCAACTGTAAATCTAAACCATCCAGGGACCCACTCAAACACAAAATTTTCATCAAAATCGGTAGGAGCTATTTTTGAATTTTCGCGAGACTAATGCACAGCAATTGATTTTTATTTTATTATTATGACAGAATAAATAATAGTACTACGTACAGAAGTTGCTCTTCTTTGGTGTTACTTACCAATGTTTTAATAGCCTACATAATTATTATTAATTAGATAAATCACGCTCAAAAGCTAAATTAAACTTTATTGCTGCGCCTGAGTGTCCGTATGCCTTTGCATATTTTCCCCTTCCTACGTCACAGATGATATTCCTAGGGCTTTCAAAGAAGATTTCAATAATACAGTACGTATATAATACAACTGTTTTACTTTAATATAATGTCATATTTTTAACCGTCCCTGAAATAATGGTTATTAAATAGAAGAGTTGAAGAGACTCTAAATCTGTCGAATAATTTAAGTGAATTCTGGGAGGGGGAACATGGATACGGAGTGATAAAATTAATAAAACTATTTTTACGGATTTTATCGCGTTTAATTTACTTATTTTATATTCCCGACGTTTCGGTTGCTTTCCAGCAACCGTGGTCACGGGGGACTGAGGTGATTGACGTCCCGATGTCAAAGTTAACCCGGAGTACCTTCAGCTTTTTAATTATTAATTTTGGTCCGATCTACGCAGAATGAACTAACTGTGTCTTGAAGTCTTACAGTGGTATGCTTGGGTTTAGTTTTAATTTTATGAATTACAGGATCCCAAGCAGGTGGTAGTACCCAGCCTCCCTCTCTATTGAAATTAGGATGTTTTTTAATTTCAATAGCCTCACGTATCATCCTTGGCAGGAATCGATGTTCTTTCGCGAGGACTTGTGGTTTATCAAATCTAATGTAATGACGGGGGCCGTCTAGGATATGATCACAAACTGCAGACTTCCCGGAACGTTGGTGCTTCACGTCAGCTATGTGTTCTTTTACGCGGGTTTTTATTGATCGTTTTGTTTGCCCTATATATGAGAGACCACACTCACAATCAAGCTTGTATACTCCTGCATCTTGTAGAGGAATATTGCACTTGACGGATGGTAAGAACTGACTAATCTTCTTCGGCGGCTTGAAGAATGTTCTAATAGAAGCTACAAAAAGTTTCTGTGACAGCAAACACCTGGCCGCCGAGCTTCAGCACGTCAAGCAGGTTCTGCACGACAACAAGCTTCGGGTTCCGTGCCTACGTCACAGTGACCGAGTGAAGCCGGCCACAGTCGAGCGTGTGCCTGCTGTACTACCATATGTCAGAGGTGTCACAGACAAGATTGGCTACATCTTGAAGCGAGCTTCTATTAGAACATTCTTCAAGCCGCCAAAGAAGATTAGTCAGTTCTTACCATCCGTCAAGTGCAATATTCCTCTACAAGATGCAGGAGTATACAAGCTTGATTGTGAGTGTGGTCTCTCATATATAGGGCAAACAAAACGATCAATAAAAACCCGCGTAAAAGAACACATAGCTGACGTGAAGCACCAACGTTCCGGGAAGTCTGCAGTTTGTGATCATATCCTAGACGGCCCCCGTCATTACATTAGATTTGATAAACCACAAGTCCTCGCGAAAGAACATCGATTCCTGCCAAGGATGATACGTGAGGCTATTGAAATTAAAAAACATCCTAATTTCAATAGAGAGGGAGGCTGGGTACTACCACCTGCTTGGGATCCTGTAATTCATAAAATTAAAACTAAACCCAAGCATACCACTGTAAGACTTCAAGACACAGTTAGTTCATTCTGCGTAGATCGGACCAAAATTAATAATTAAAAAGCTGAAGGTACTCCGGGTTAACTTTGACATCGGGACGTCAATCACCTCAGTCCCCCATGACCACGGTTGCTGGAAAGCAACCGAAACGTCGGGAATATAAAATAAGTAAATTAAACGCGATAAAATCCGTAAAAATAGTTTTATTCAATGTGTAGTGTTCGCGTAAATATAAGAAATCATTAGATAAAATTAATATTCGTTTATCATTTGAGTAAGTTATTTGGTGATTTTTTTTTCATTATGTTTTTAAAATTGTTAATTAATGTATTTTCTATAACATACATATAAATTATACTATAACTTATACAACTTACTATAACTTATACTATAATAAATAAAAATATTTTATACCAGTATTTACAAAAAAAACTGCGGTTGCCAACCCCGCCCGCCAAGCGTGGCAACTATGGCAATATACCCCCCCCCCCCCATGAAAAAAGTTACGAAAAGATGACCCCCAGTCCCCGGCGGCCCCGCTATTCCTGGCTACGGTGGCGACCATGGTGACGGCGAGGCAGGGGGTACTAAGAATCTCCGGTGGAGGTTCGGTTGCCACCTACGACGACTCGACCTGGCAACTTATGACGCACGCACCCTGAGGACTGACGAGAAGATCCTGGAGCTGGAAGAAGAGATAAACAGGTTGCGCTGGAATATTATAGGATTATCCGAGGTCCGAAGAGAGGGGGAGGACACGGTAATCCTCGAATCCGGCAACTTGTTCCATCACAGGGAGGGCGACCATATGGCCCAAGGAGGTGTCGGATTTATCGTCCACAAGTCTCTCCTTAACAACGTTGTAAAGATTGGGAGTGTGTCGACGAGGGTAGCGTACCTTATAATCAGAACCACCAAATGGTATTCGCTGAAGGTCATACAGGTTTACGCACCAACCTCGGCTCACCCCGAACTCTTTCTTTCAGAAACGGCCCCACAGGAAGTGGACCTGGTCGAGCCACGACGGTTGACAAAAAATGAGATTGACTTCATTATGACGACCAAACCACAACTGCTCAGTGATGTCTCAGTGATCGCGAGGGTGAAAACTGGTAGCGATCACCGAATGGTTAGAGGCACACTGAACCTAAACGTTAAGTTGGAGAGGTCTCGTCTAATGAAGTCAACGCTCCGTCCCCCTCTACTCTAGTCCAAAGTCCCGCAACCTTTCAGCTCAAGTTACAAAACCGTTTTTCAGTGCCTATAAGACTGCAATGAAGTGGACGATATAAACGATAAGCTCGTGGAAACTGTCCATGCAGTCGGAGCAAAGTTCTGCAAGACCGGCCGCAGAAGAACACAAAAACTCTCCGATCACACTCTTAATCTCATGGCTGTTAGCAGTCTTCAACAGATTTGACAGCATACAGGCAACTGAATAGACCGATCTCAAAATGAATGCGGCGAGACTTACGCAACTTCAATACAGCTCATATTGAAGAAGCGATCGTGCGGAACCAAGGCTCCAAAGTCTTTGCCAGAGATCTGTCGACCAGAAAGAGCCAACTGTCAAAGTGGCAACATCGTTTCCGGGACACCTGAGATTTTGAGTGAGATTGAGAGGTTCTATGGGCAGCCGCTGTACACGTCATCGTTGGAGCCACACGCAAGTGTGAGTAACGAAGAGCGAGTCTTATCCGACACTATTCCAAATTTATTACGGACGTCAGTCTAAGCGAGATTAGAATGTCTCTCCAGCACCTTAAAAACGGCAAGTCCCCGGGCGAGGATTGAATTACAGCAGAGCTTCTGAAAGCGGGTGGAAAACCGGTACTTGAATTCCTTCAGAAGCTCTTTAATTCCGTCCTCCATGGTACTACTCGGGAGGCGTGGAGCAGAAGTGCGGTGGTCTTGTTCTTCAAGAAAGGCGATAACGCTCTCTTGAAGAACTACAAACCGATTTCCCTTCAGAGCCGCATCTACATGCTGTTTTCGAGTCATTACGAATCGTCTCGCACGCAGACTCGACGACTTCCAGCCTCCCGAACAAGCCGGTTCCCGAAAAGGCTTTAGTACCATAGACCACATACACACCCTTTGGCAAATTGTACAGAAGACAGAAGAGTACAATCTGCCACTTTGCCTTGCGTATGTGGACTATGAGAAAGCCTTTAGTTCCGTCGAAATTTGGGCGGTGCTACAGTCCCTTCAGAGGTGCCAAGTTGACTATCGGTATAGCGAAGTGTTGAAGTGTTTGTACAGTAGGGCTACGATGGCTATCCGAGTACAGAACCAGAGTACGAAACCTAACCAACTGCAGAGAGGTGTAAGACAGGGCGACGTTATATCCCTGAAACTCTTCACCGCTGCATTGGAAGATGTTTTCAAACTACTGGACTGGAAAGGATACGGTATTAACATCAATGGCGAGTACATCACTCATCTTCGATTTGCCGACGATATAGTCCTTATGGCAGAATCGCTGGAGGACCTAAGCACTATGCTCAATGACCTCAATAGTGTCTCTCAATGGATAGGTCTTAAGATGAACATGGACAAAACAAAGATCATGTTTAATGTCCATGTCACACCTATGCCGGTAGTTGTTGGGAGCACTAAGCTCGAAGTTGTTGACGAGTATGTTTACCTGGGACAAATAGTCCGACTGGGTAAGTATAACTTCGACCGAGAGGTCAATCGACGGATTCAACTCAGTTGGGGCGTTTGGGAAAATACGGCACCTCTTCTCATCAGGTATACCTCAAAACTTGAAAACGAGGCTATACAACCAGTGCGTGTTGCCAGTGATGGCCTATGGAACTGAGACGTGGTCCTTCACTGCTGGCCGGATGAGGAAGTTTAAGATCACTCAGCGAGCTATGGAGAGGGCTATGCTAGGAGTTTCTCTGCGTGATAAACTTTGGAATGAGGATATCCGCAGTAGAACCAGAGTGACTGACACAGCCCAACGGATTAGTAAGCTGAAGTGGCAATGGGCCGGCCATATAGCTCGAAGAACCGACAACCGATGGGGAAAAAAGGTTCTCGGGTGGCGGCCTCGTACCGGCGGGCGAAGTGTAGCGCGTCCCCCCACTAGATGGGGTGACGACCTGGTAAGACATGCAGGAAGTCGATGAATGCATGTGGCTCAGGACTGTGTTTTGTGGCATTCATTTGGGGAGTCCTATGTTTAGCAGTGGACTTGTAAAGGGCTGTAATGATGATGATGTTAAAAAAAAACATTGAAATTCACTACTGCCGCGACTGTGTTTGTAACCTGAGGTTCCGCGCGATTAGGTACTTACTAGTAAGGGGATCTACTACCCCATACAAACTCGTAGATATCGTAAGAGGCTACAGAACGAAATGAAACAGTATATGGGCAGCAGCATCTACGTGATAACATCTCAAGAATAGTAATAAAAATTGATGTTGCCAACCCACCTGCAAGTATGGAAACTGTGGCCATAAATATCTGACTAAGCAATCAATGGGCGGCCTAAGTTCAACAGTGGAATTTTGATCTGTAGTACTGATGATGATGGTGATAGTTAATATGTACCATTATTATAAATATAAATAATATAGAATATGAGAGAGTATGTTATAATTATCATCGGATCTGAGAGATGGTGATTTCCCATCACTACATAGTATAAAACAAGTCGCTTCTTGCCGTCTGTACGATTAGATTCTTTTTAGTTTTCATAGGAAGGTGTATAATACATGCATATTATATATTTATTCTGTCCGTGTGTATGTGACTGAACTCCTCCTAGACAGCTGGACCGATATTGATGAATGATGATGGTTTAGATGCACAATTGGACCCGGTACGTGGCTTCATTGTCGAGATCCAGAAATTAACCGTGCGAAGCCGGGACGGATCGCTAGTATCCGATATAACAAATATAAATACTTAATTCGTGAAATCATACAATAATGGAACGTCCATTTTACCACTTACCTAAATCTTCCGAGATTTCTACGGGATAGTAATCACAGTAATACTGCTCTAAAGTGGTAGCCAACGCCATTTCATACAATGTACGACCAAAGCAATAGACATCAATGGTTTCAGCCGTCATGTTATGTTTCAGTTGTAACAAGTAAGGGCGGTAAAAGCAAGGCACACCCATCAGCACATTCTCTATGTCCATTAATAGTACTTTTTGATTTTTTATTGTTATGTTACCTGGGTGTATATGACCTGAAATTAAAAATATTAACTTTTTAAAAAAGTTTAACCGGCTAACTAAAAAAAAATATTTCGAAATAATTTAATAGCTTCTAAAGTCATATTGCGCCTAAAAATTATATTATATTATGGTTGCAGTACGAATGCGTCGGATCGATTGTGGTAGGACCACGCTCTCACAGAATACCAGCGTAAAATAGCAGCTTAATGCTGCTGTGTTTCGTATGTATTTTTACTGGAAACGAGGCATTCCATATAGTCAGGGCTGCCCAAACCACGACTTACCGGGATGGGGTTCCCGAGAAATTGTGCAATTCGATCACCAGCTTTCTTGCAGATCGGAGCATCAAAACGAGTAGTAGTAGACGGTGCATGCTCCGATTACAAGACTATTAATGCCGGTGTTCCACAAGGCTGCGTGCTATCACAAGCGCTGTTTCTTCTTCATATCAATGATCCGGTTCCGGTAACATTCATTGTTATGCGGATGCTGGTGATGATGCTCTACTACACCGGCCGTGCTAATATTTTACGGGAAAATGTCGCCGAGTACCGGAACAAACTTGTGTCTGAAGTCCAGTCTTTGCTGAACAAAGTCTCGGATTAGGGGCGACTAATCCTAGTCTAGTTTAATCCTTAGAAGACACAAGTTTGCGCGTTTACCGCTAAAAAGAATCCCTTTGTCGTATCTCCTCAGTTTCAAGGCACTCCCCTTGTTGCCTTAGCCAGTATCGGAATCCTCAGCGTCGACATATTGAGTGACGTGTAGTTTCGTGGTTACTTGGAAGAGAAGGCCAAATTGGCCTCTAAAAAACTTGGAGTGCTCAGCAGAGAGGGACAGTATTTCAAGTCACATCACATCACATCACACATCGCCTGCAACTTTACAAGGCGCAGGTTCGGCCTCCCATGGGATACTGTTCCCATTTCTGGGCTGGGGCTCTCCAGTGTCAGCTCCTTCCACTTGACCGCGTTCAGCGTAGAGCGGCTCGATTCGTTCCGACCGGCTCGATTCACTGGTGCTCCGAAGAGATTTTGCATCCCTTTGCATTTTCTTTCGCATTTACCACGGAGAGTGTTCTGAGGAATTGCTCGGATTAATCCCAGCCGCCAAATTTCACGAACGCACATCGCGGCAAAACTCCCGATCCATTCACACCATCTCGACACTTGGCGGTCCACCAATGTACGTTTCACTAGGAGTTTTCTTCCGCGTACGACTTTTCTGTGAAATAGTTTACCACCGGCGATTTTTCCGGACCGATACGACTTAGGGACCTTCAAGAAAAGAGCTTACTCCTTTCTAAAAGGCCGGCAATGCACCTGTAATTTCTCTGGTGTTGCAGTTGTTTATGGGCGGCGGTAGTCACTTACCGTCAGGTGAGCCGTATGCTCGTTTGTCTCCTCTCCTATAAAAAAGTATTTGAATACGCATGTGGAAGGCCCGTATACAGCCGTTTAGCATGGGCTTCGCTGCAGTACTCTGAACCATCTTAATATTAGCACTATAGATTACGTTTACAAGTAAATAACTGTATAAAACCAAAGTAGAGCTGGATCAAACTAAAGAGTCTCCCACACACAACCGGCTTCCGGTGGCGGCCGGGATAGCGGGCAGTTGTATTCGCTTGCGATGTAAATGAGTGTGCAAACTTGTGCGGCCATGTGCGGCTGGCCGCGGCCGTACGCCCCGCCCCCTCCGCCACCGCGATTGTGTTAGCGAGCGCGCGCCCTATCGGTGGCCGCAGCGAAGTCACTTACAAATTTTTACATTTTAATAGAAACAGTGCAAAATTATCTAGTACTTTATGATACTTTACACCGTGATTACAATCCGATCGTAGCACAGATACCACAGCGAATGACCGCCACTGCGACCACGGTGCAAGCCGCTTGTGTGTGTGGGGGAGGCGCTTAATATCTATTTATTCAGAATTTATAAGCCAAACCAGTATCAGTAACTGCTTGCAAAAATCTTATCAAGGACTGTAATTGAAAGTTAGCGATTTATTTTAATAATTAAAATTAATATTATGACAAACAGGATATGACTCAAGTTGACAACTCACAATAAACATCCATTATCACATACAATATTGGTAGCTTAGAGGCCGAATGCTTGCTGTAAATTTGACTGCATGAGCAATCTGGGATTTATCCCCGCCGTCATCAATGAAATTGTTAATTGCAGCTTTAAGTGTTGGTTTACCACATACTCGGTGAAGGAGAACATCGTGTGGAAACCTGCATGTCACAGAAATAAAAAAATATTTCTAGGACATTTGAAGTCTACAACAAAATGGCTGTAACTATACTATTACTAACTATATTATCTATAACATATTCATACCTCTGACTGTAATCTATAAATCATAATTAACTATTACTTTTTATTGAATGACGGCTCCGTGGCGCAGTGGCTTAGCAATCAGTTGTTGCGCTGGGGGCCGCGGGTTCGAATCCCGCACGGAACAAGTATTTGTATGGCCTACAAATAATTGTTCCGGGTCTGGATGTGTGTCCTTGTACAATTTATGTTTGTAAACTGCCTCCACGACACAGGAGAAAATCCTAGTGTGGGGGTAACGTTTTTAAAAAAAAAAAAATAAAAAAAAACTATCTGTCATATAGGGAATCCTAGTACGGACAACAGTCTCTCGCAAATTGATTGTAGCATATAAATATTAAGTTGTGTGTTTATTTTAATTACTAGATTTGTGAGAGAAAATAATAAACTTTATTATTATTATAAAATTAACTGTTCATACTAAATAGTTTATTTGTCTATATTTTTATGTCTGACAAGATTGTTGTTGCGCAATATGTTTTCCTTGTCGATTTTTAAGTTTATAATTTCAGCAACAACTTCTGAAAATCGGAAATCTTCAACTGCGCAAGACATAATGCGTAACTAACCTACCCGATTCTTTTGTAACAATCACGCTATTAGATTGAAGACAGGTCAGGACATTATGTCAAAGTGACAAGATAGCCTCATCCAACAATCAAAAATTGTGTTTCTGGACAAAGGTTAACTTCAGTTTTTATACAACGATGCAACCATAAAAATATCTTAAATACAAATATTAGGTAACTCAAAGAGTACTTAACATAGGAAAATGTAAAGATGAAATACAAAAAGTCATTATAGCAAAAGCTCTTTAAATATAACATAAGTTTAAATATATTATACAACTACCTGATACACGCGACTTCGTCCGCGTTGCTTGATATATTAACAGTTTTCGTATGTGCGAAGAAAAAAATATCAAAAAAATATCAGAAGCAAAAATATACTTTGTTTACAAAATCGTTGTTTCTTAAAGTTTAATAACGTTGTATTAAATGAAGATTTAGCAATATTTTTTTTTTTAGTTAAGGTCCAATTCCGTGATGCGTGCACATCTGCAAACCTCTATAATTTTATTTATACAGATTATAAAATATTTAATTACAAACCGTGTGGTAAGCCTTTGTCATGTAAAAACTTGAGTGCTTGTAATATCTGATATCCATAGTGCGATATTTGTCCAGTCGTAAATGGTTTCCTCACTTTAGGATTACCATACTTAGCTAAATAATTCTTTGAGTACTCTGTACCATATAAAATATCCCTGATGCTTCCATTCTCATGTATTCTTTTAACTACATAAGCACCTGTTTCTAATATTTGATATCCCACTACCTCTTCGATGTATGGATGCTGCAAGATAAAAGTGTAAGTTGTAATGATAATATATTATAATACTAATAAAGGATCTTTATCTTCTTCATTAGCCCCTAAAAGTCTACATGGGCCTCTACCAATGGAGGATTTGCCCAAATTGTCAAAATTAGCAAGCGGATTGGTGATCACAGTACCAGACGTCTCACGTCTTTGATGCTGGTGCTCATAAACATTTTCTTTGATGGATCACCAGTAAAAAAAAATTAATGGATTCAAATTAGGTGAACGGGCTGGCAATGAGATTGTACCAGACCGCCCTATCCATCTTTTGGGTATTGTTCATCAATTTTCAATAATTTTAGACAGGTAAGGAAAATTAATTTGCAACTGGGTTTCTTTAAAAAAAATGTTTTTTCCATAATTTAACAAAGTTATTAGCAAGTGTTATGCTAGTTTGGAATTCTTATTAAATGCGCCAACTTTTAAAGTTACTTGCCACTCATGTATTAAATTTTTTTTACAGTCTGGAGCTGTAACTTTCTGGACTGGAGCTGTTGGCTGCAGCAACAACAAATTTCAGCATTACATAATAAAAATAAAATTAAAAAAAATTGTAGCACAGGGGTTAAAAGAACGTCACAAGGTGCAGATTTTGTCGATTTTTTTTTTTTATAAATGCAATACATGCATTTATAAAAAAAAAATCGACATATGCAACTTTTAAAATACATAGGTAAGATTGTTTTCTAAATTTTTCTATTAACTATAATAGTAGTAGACTTCACCTATCATCCTATTCTGGTACTTGACGTGGACTTCTGGGACAGCCTGTACATAAACTCAACTTGTCTTAGGGATGCGAGGATGCAGCTTGCTAAAGCATTGTTATGCACTATTCAAAATTGTTTCACTAATAGTGAAAAGGGTTAGCAATAATTATTTATTTTCGCATATTCCCATTTTCATTTTAATAAAACAATAAATAAATTTATTACATCTCAACTAAAGGAGACATCTTGAGTTAATATATACAATACAATACAATACTCTTTATTGTACACCAAGAAAAGTTAAAAGTATCAAAAAGAAAAAATAAAACTATTGAGGGATATACAAAGGGCGGGCTTATTGCTACATAGCAATCTCTTCCAGACAACCTATATACATATAGGAGGAAGCCAGTGTTATGGATCACCAGGATGTCCCCCTCAGGATATTATCAACATAGATTAACATGCAATGTATATGATTAACAAACATCAGACATATTGTTAAAAAAAATTATTATTACAATTTACAAATCACATATTTTACATTATATTTAAAGTTACTTACATACATGTTCTGCAAACTTTTAAATGCAGTTTGTAAATCTTTTGCGTGTAAATATTTATCAGGACCATAGTTCAGCCATGATAGTAAGCAGTTTGTTTGAGTTTCCATGTCAGTTACCTGTGTAGAGCACAACAATAAATTATCATAACAGAAGTGTTTAGCACAATAAAGAATGCTTTGTTGCTATTTTTATCACAGTCTGATAAGACACATTAGGTCAATCTCTCATTAAAAGAATAATACTATCTCTCAGTTACATATTTCTTTAACAATTAAGAACACATGTAGTATTTTGACCTATTTTGTTTTCTTGTACAAATGAAAACCAATTCTATGGAACTTTCCTCCCTATGCCTAGAAGCTAGTGCTATTTAAAAACCTTAAAACCAAATAAATGATGCAAGTTAAAATTATAAGCCAACATTAAAGATCAATCTCATAAAAAAATTCTTACCAAAAAGAACTGTTTCCGGATCCGCCAACCAATGTCTGTTATAGGTCCTTTTAATTCATAGCGGCCATCACCTCTTAATGCAATGGGAATTGTTTGAAGGGCTTGCTCTGCAAAAACAAGTAAACAGTATAAACTGAATATTTTTATATATCACTCATGTTCTTAATTAGTTAGTGCAAATACCTACAGAGATAGAACAGCACAGATAATACTGCTCCCATTAACAGCGTGTGAGGTAAGAGTTCAAGCTTTTTGAGGGAAATACCTGCATTTATTGATCTGAACATCAATTGATATTACACACCATATACAGAAGTTGGCATCTGAAGGAGCTGAACATGGTTAAGCGCATGGTTCAAACTTACTCAATCCGGCTCCTGAGGTATCTTAGTCCTAAGGTCTAATTTAGTACTAGCCTATGTTAAAAGAAAACATTTAAAAATTATATTCAATCACTTTACAGCTGGTTATTAGAGTGTATTTTATTTTAATAAATTTTAATTGGCTGTGTTGCTGCAGGGCCACAGGTTTGAATCCAGCATGTAGAGAATTGCAATGATATTTAATCTGCCCAGTCAAACCATGGTGATAACAAAAAAGTATACAATAATATTAAATGGAATAAGTGTTTATCCTTTCAATTGTGGATGTCTAACAATTGGTACAAAAATGTCTCCGTTTACTGCGGCTGTCCAAGTATTACACATTTTTTACCCGCTTTTTTAATGAAGAAACAAAGCATTAAGCACTATGTCTAACTTATACTACCATATGTCGATGTGTACAGGATAAAGAAGGATAGCATAAAAACCCCATAGCTTTCATACTTTAGTAGGATTTTTTATTTATATCATCTGTGGATTTTGTCTGTCCCTTGAGTCAGCCATCAGTGTTTTGTTAGTGATTGATTAGGAAAAACTAGATGTGGCATTTGGAAGTGCATGTGTGTTAACACAAGACATGGGAAATTTTTAAACAATTTATTTAAAAAAAAGTAGACAATATTTATATATTTTTTTAATATCTTTATTTTAATATTTTTTAATATTTAAAATTTTTATTTATTTTTATTTTAAAATAAACAGTTTGTGGTATTTTAAGGTAAAGAAATATTAAAAAAATGCATGCATCCTTTCCCTTATATTGAGTAATTCCATTTTATGTCATAACAAAGTTTGAGAACCAGAACATTACATGCCAAGCCACAAAAAAAAGAAAAATGTTTGGAACATTTATCTTTCTAGCAATTTATAGATCATATTGAAATATGTTTTTGAGCATTAAAGATAGGACAAATTCCTTTTATTAACTTTGATCCTAATCTATAGAAATGGCTTTAAATTTAAGTACGGTCTTACCCCTTGATGACAAATTTTTCATCATGCATATAAATAAGTATGTCTTGACTTTGCACACTTTTAAAGCAGAAACCGTTCAGTTTACAAAAGCAAAAGATTTCATAGCTAAACTATGTTTAACCATTAACAATATGCACCATGTTCTAGAAATGTGACATATACGGATGTCGAGAAAATAATTTTTGAAAACTCTTTCAACTAGTCAAAAATCCATCCGATATTACCCCAGTGTAGGACTGTGTAGTCCCGGTGTATGAATATCCACTATCCCATATGATCTTGTTAATGTTTTAAAAAGCATCAGAGGGAAACTAACCAGATGACTAGCAGCATATATATAATAATAACTAAAAAATAAGAAACTACAGTTGCCAACTTGCCTACCAAAGATGTCAACTATGCTAAATTTCTCGTCTATGAGCTAATCTTTAGAGCTTGGCCTATGTTCGACACTGGACTTTTTATAAGCTGTAATTATAAGAGTAATTTTAGTATATAAAATGCTTTTCTACATTATACAGGAAGCTATTGTGGGGGTAACATTTAAAAAACTACTGTTCTTTAAAACGAAGGTTATACCTGTTATTTCCACAGAATAATTTTTGGGATCCAAAAAACTTCTCACTGGTAAAGATAATGCTAACACGTGGTGCTTTAATACTTCTTTTATATAGTTCTAAAAAGAGAGGAAAATTTATTTAGAATTATTGAATACTAAAAATAAAAATAATGTACAAAAATTAATTAAATAAAAATACAATTATTTAACTGATGTCCACACTTACTTGCAGTGCTATTTGCCTTTCAGCAATAAAAGATGGTTGCATGTTCCCAATAAGTTTTTTTGGTGGCAAGGGAAGGTCAATATTAGATTGTTGCAGGCTTGTATGAAGTGCTGCAAAATGCCTATACCGTCGCAAAACATCCCACTTATTTTCTTTGGAGGGCCCCCGTTGCACACGTAAAACATATTCCTGTAGCAAGTTTTGGGCTTTTGAGGTTGAAGATAGTTGTTTTCTTAAGAAACAGTTAATCAAAAGAAATAACTTACTGTATGTTTATCAACGTTTTGCGCATTTTCTAAGGTGCAAAGCAGTGTTTCTGTATCATCCAAAATAGTTTTCGTTTGAAACGATTTTTCAAATATAGCCATTACGTTGAAAATAATGAACAATTTATTATCATAGGTAGGAAACAAGCACAACACATTTTGTTTAACACTGTAGACGTTATTAGAGAACTAGAAACATTTGTAACAAAAAATTGTTTTGACTGTGACTGTATTGACATAATGAATGACATACTCTTTGATCTTTGTAATGACATTCCATGGTATACAGTAATCTGTGCATGGTATATAGCATAGTGTATTATGCAAAGAGAATATAATCACTAGTGATGGGTCTCTAGTATTTACAGTAATCTATGAGTCAACTCGAGTTAACTCGAATTGTATCTCCCTAACACGGGTTTGGGCTGCTGTACATGAACGGATCAAGTGAGCCAGCACATTAGTAAAAGCGCGATTCGTTCGTTGTGTGTGCGCTTTATGTCTCAAATAGTATTTAGCTAATACCAAAACAATTCGTTATTTAGAATTTTATAATAGCTAAGTTATGTAATGAATTTATTTTATAATTTTCATTAATTATGATCAATAAAGTTATGTATTATTGTAATACCCGAAAAGGATAGTTAAGCTGTAAGATACAACTTTCAATAAATATTTTGGAGTGGAAAAAAAATTATTTAAAAATATGTTGACTGTGATAATTAAACTATTAATAGCTTATGTACCTACATCTTAAAGCTAGACTAATATTGTTTCGTGATGATTGCTATATAGTTTTGTTGTTAAATACAGGTACTTACTATAACTAAGATTAAAACAAAAAATACACAAGTATGTGAAACATACTAAATATACCTTTTTATTTCAATCCTACATAATAACTTTGGAAATTATAGTTATCCCAACCTATCAAACAGCTAAATAGAAAAACAAATTTGTAGGAAAGTAATTTGTAACAAATCATTTACTCTGATTCGTACAGCTTACTCGAGTTGCGCAACTCGAGTTTAAGCTTTCATTCACGCAACTCCAATTTAAACTCGAGTTGCGTGAATTTCAACTCGAAGTGGACTCGATTTTTCCGAGTTAGCACATCTATATTTTTTTAATAACAGGGTTTACGACTCTGGGTTCTAGTACTTCTGAGCCTGAATATCTTCACAATATGTTGATGCGTCACATTGTGCAGCCCTTGGGAGATTTTGACGGCAACTTAAGCCAGCAACTTCTATATAAAGACATTCTTCACAGAGTTCTTTTGAGTACCTGGAAACACGAAACATTCTTCACTCTTTATTATTAATATTTTTGGCTTAGATGATTGTACTTTAAGTCGTGTTTTCATTTATCTCAGTACTAGCTGTGCTCTGCGGTTTTACACGCGCATATAACGCGTCTGAGCGGCGCGACATGACATGACACTTTGTTCATTTAGTTCAATCATTTTAGCTTAAAAAAAAATAACGCTCGTATATCACTTTATAATTACGAAATGCTGAAATGAAGCTTTATGTATACGAAATGGGCATAATATAGTAGGACTTTTTTTAGATGGAGTAAAGATCTATATTTTTGTAGAACATTTTACGTATTACTAACTATTGAGCACACGTGAATAAATCATTGTGCGAGTGCTTTTTCTTTTATATTGCTTCAGAAAAATAGAAGAAGAAGAGTATAGCCAGAGAAGTATAGCCTAATATTAGGTATCTTATACTATTTCTTATGATTGTTGCTGTAATATACAAAAAGAATTTTCTAAATCGGACTGGTGGTTCTAGAGATTAGTGTGTTTAAACAAAAAAAAAACTCTTCCGCTCTTTTATATTACTATATAGATCAAGTGATAATAATTCTTTATATTTAACTGCTTCACAATATATTAATCCGTTACATTGCGTAGCTTTTGGAATATTTTGATGGCAACTTGAGCTAGCAGACAGTTGGTGATAATATCTCAATGCACCAAAGCAGACAGACACTTTATTTTGAGATACATATTACCATCAGAGCACTTGTTTCACTGTTTGTACTAATAGCTCACATGCGCAGACACCACTTTTCATATCAAAATCCACTTCAAACCATTATTTAAACCATAAAGCAGGACCAGCAATCCGCCGTCGGTCAAGTTCCCGTCAAAAGTCCTTGGTACCTTTTTTATTTGTTTTCATCACAGACAAGCGTATTTGCGCAGTATGTGTATATTTTTAATAGGTATGGAAGTTCTGACGTAAACGTAGTGATCTCTCGGTAGAGAGTAACTGTGTTCTGTGGTAGTGATTATCATATAGTCTTTGGCATTTTTCTAACGAAATATAGCTTGAAATAACTATGTAAGGCCGGCCACATACATACGGAATTCCGTTTCGATATTCCGATTCGAAATTCCGAACGCAGCAAGAACATATAAAATCTATGACCCGCCACACACGTTACTTTCCCGTACGGAATTTTCTGCGATTCGAGATTCTGTATGACATTCCGTATGTATGTGACCGGCCTTAGAGTTCAGATTTCAGAACAAACAACTAGTACTTGTATGCGCATGAACCAAAGAGTAAATCTTACCATGAACCACAGACAAGTCTTATTGATTATGTCATTTCCGGTAATATCGCAACGAGTCGCGAGCGGAGAAGTACACGGCCCTCCTGTCTGCCATTAGTATTGAATCCAACTGAAAAATGTCGCTGATCTCCGCTCGTTTGGCCTCCTCTGTGGCCAGGCGCTTGCCTAATGCGGCGTCTCAGGTACATTATTTTATAAAATACAATTTCTTTGTAAGAATAAGCTAAATCGCTTTTTACCTAATACTTGGGTTATCATGTCACATCAGTTCATTATATTATATCAAGAACATTTTATTGATTAGAATTAGATTTTGTTCAATATATAATTATTAATAGTAATTTATCCATTAATAGTGTTCTTAACACTGTCTAAATAGTACTTATCAAGGAAATATTACTAATAATTCCTTAGACTATAGTTATGTAACAGCGGCCGATCGGTATTGTCACATTACAATGTAATATATCCCTGTAAAAAACGTTTAAATCAAAGGATAGTGCTTCTCGGCTTGAATTATCAACTAAAATATTTATTGTCTTGGTTATGTCGGCTCTAGGTTTCGAAAATTGCGGCTCCTGCGGTGGCCGTCGCGTCCCGCAAGCTGCACGTATCTTGCCCACAACGGGGTTCCGAAATCTCCGCCATCCTTGAGGAGAGAATCCTCGGTGCCGCACCAAAGGTATGTCGATTGAATTACATAAACACAATTTTACAGTTTTTAGGCTTTGAATTTTACACCTAAGTATTTGTTTTCGTAAGGAATTTGCTTAATATCTGACAATAGACAGGTGTAAGTGCGACCAAACTTAGTTTCTATTTGGTTCAATTAGTATGTGTTATTATAACAATCCCTGTAAATATTAAACAGCTGATTATTGATGGGCTGATTATCAGTCCGCAGTCATCTTTTCCTTTAGTTTTGTATTTATATCTTATTGAAATATTTAACTAAGTTATTTGAAATATTATTGCTATTTGTAAACCATTTACTTATGGTTACATAACCTAAAATTTTAGCATAATGAATTTATAGTATATTAGTTTTTTTTTTAATTCTAGCTTAAATAAAAAATAATATAACTGGTGCACTATATAGACATAATTAATTCTTATATCATCATTTTTAAATTTAAATATTATAAAGTTACATTTATTTTGTACTAAAATTTATCTACTTTATAATAAAATTTTTGCAGGCAGACATAGCTTCATATAATATATTATATAGAAATACTACTACTATGTTAATTGATATTCTGCTAATTCTGTAATTAATACTAGTAATTTCTCTTTATTTTTTTAAATATTGTTTTGTTTGATTACTCTTATTTTACTTATATTGAAATAAAAATGTTCCTTCACTGCTGGCCTTATGAGAAAGCTCAAGGGCGCTCAGCAAGCTATGGAGAGGGCTATGCTCTGCGTGATAAAGTTAGAAATGAGGATATCCGCTGTAGAACCAGAGTAACCAACATAGCCTAACAGTTTAGCTGAAGTGGTCATATAGCTCGAAGAACCAACAACCGATGGAGATAAAAGGTTCTCAAGTGGCAGCCTCGTATCGGTAGGTGAAGTGTAGGGCGACCCCCCACTAGATGGAGTAACGACCTGGTAAGACATGCAGGAAGACGATGGATGCAGGTGGCTCAGGACTGTGCTTTGTGGCGTTCCTTGGGCGAGGCCTATGTTCAGCGGTGGACTTATGAAGGGCTGTAATGATGAAATAATAATATGCAGAAATGAAATTGTTGATTGCAATTTTAAGAGCTGATTACACATGCTCGGCAGTTAAAGAAAACATTATAAGGATATCTGCATGTCTGAGAAATTAGAAATATATGTATTTCCAAGGCATGAGAAGTCTGCCAACTGCATTGGACAGCATGGTGAACACTTTCTTGCCAACTCTACCTCTCTCAGTATTGAGAGGAAGCCTAGGAATCAGATGCATATAAGCTGTAATTTTAATTTTTTTTAAAGTGAAATTAATTAATGTTTTAAAATCACTTACGTAAATATAACGAGAGAAAATAATGACTAATTAACTTTTAGTTATTAGTAATAAATTTTTAATAACTCAAAGAATAAAACAACAAACACCAATTTTGCATTTTAAAGCATGTAGTATAATGTATAATTGTTGCTTAATCATTTTTTAGGCCGACTTAGAAGAGACTGGCCGTGTGTTGAGCATCGGTGACGGTATTGCCCGTGTGTATGGCCTTAAGAACATTCAGGCTGAGGAGATGGTGGAATTCTCCTCTGGCCTTAAGGTATGTAATGATTTTAACTATCACATTTCTCTTATTTAGATAGATTCTTAGACAATTTTTTGGATTATTAAAATATTTAGACTATTTCTTTAGTTTTTTTAAATTGTAAAAAATGTTTGGTTACAATTATTTTTTATTAAATTTATTTGTGGATAAAATTTTGTCATGGTACTATGTGAAGTGTTTTTTTGATGTGTTAAGACATAAAATGTTACTATATATTATGTATACATAGATTATAGTAATATTATAGATTTTTATCTTCCAAAGATGTGTATAAGTAGTTCCGATGTGGCCTTAAGATGCTGTTGGTAGTAGATGGCCATAAAAACTAACATTTTTGCTAAGTTTTAAATACTTTAATTATGGTTTAATTAATATATTTCAGTCACTAAACGTTTAAATACTTTCATCTTACTGTGTGATTTCTGTTAACATAATAACAGCTCCCATTGTTTAAGTTCATCATTCTTAACAGATTGTTAAAATTTGACCAATAGCAGTTTGGTTAGTGATTTGGATTTGATTAAACTTTCAGAAACTGGACCATAGAATATTAGTTACATGGGCCAAATATTGAAATCAAACATTTCAAATTCACACCAATATCATTATAAAAGATAATAATTATATTATTTACATAATAATTACCCTTAATAAAAAAATGGTGTATTATTTATTTTGTAATTAATTATTTATGATATACTAGTGAAATATTTTTTATTGTATATAGGGAATGGCCCTCAACTTGGAACCTGACAATGTGGGTGTGGTAGTGTTTGGTAACGACAAGCTGATCAAAGAAGGTGACATCGTGAAACGTACTGGTGCTATTGTAGATGTGCCTGTAGGAGACCAACTGTTGGGACGTGTAGTAGATGCTCTGGGTAACCCAATTGATGGAAAGGGCCCTGTTGACACCAAGTCGCGTATGCGTGTCGGTGTTAAGGCTCCTGGAATCATTCCTCGTGTTTCTGTGCGTGAGCCTATGCAGACAGGTAAATAAATATTTTCTACTTATGCAATAGAGAAGTTGAATTATTATTTTTCTGCTACAAATTTATATATAAATGAAAGAATAATTAATTTTAAGGATATTTTTAAAAAAATTATTAACCATTCCGTTTTTTTAGTAATTATTATTTAAAAATTCTTAAATTTTTGAAGGAAAAAAAAAACAAGTTGTAATTGGCTGTGACGTCATTATATCCGTTGAGGCTGTGAGCCAATCGCAATCATGCTATAATTTTGTATTTTCTATATTCAGATCACCATGATGTGCCATAACAAAACATAATATAATCTGTATTATGGAATGATATTTTTTTTAATTTTAACAACTTATATGAGAGTTTTATCATTTCACCATGCGGTGGCGTTACTAAAGCGATATAATGACGTCACTGGCGTTTGAATTTAAATTTTAAAAAAAGTTAAAAAACAAGTTTAGTACACTTTCAAAAAAAATTAAAAAACATACAACTTCTCCATTCGGGAAAGAGATAAGTTAACTAATTTTTAAACTATATTATATAAATTACTTTATAATTGTTGATAATCACTTGCTTTAATTAAATATTATCTTTATACTTGTTTCTCTATTCTTATTTAATGAATACACAGAGATAGAGAGGGCTTCTTTAAGCATTTCTTAAATTGACTTTGATTTTTATTAGATTTAATTATAAATTGTAATACAATGTTTAATAACCATGAATATATGTAAATCAAATTGCCAATGAAGGCTAATAATTTTCTGCTCACTAGTTTACACGGAGGTGAAGTTTTTTGTTACACAGTGTTATGTAATTGAGAAGTTTTAGATAAATGTTTTTCAGTTTCTCGAGTATTATATTAATACACAAAACAATGCCTCAGTGGTTTTTGCTCTTTAATTTTTTTGAACATTTTTAACTTTTTAAATATTTCTACTTTTTAATATTGGTGGTTTACTTATTATTAATTAATTAATATAAAATTAACTAATAATACAGAAAGAAGCATTCACCTTTACATTTTTCGAACAAATTAACTCCCCGGCTATGAAATCTCATTTTTACATCTTTCGTTTTACTAATTTTTTAAATGGCACCACCATTTTGGCAGACATGGATGCCGCTGTCATTGTACAATTTGACTTGGAAACGAAACATAGTAATGTTTTTAAATTTAATATTTATATTGTAAATAAGGGGTTTTTCAATATTATTCTCTTATATTATAATAAAATACCATTACACAACTCCTTCACATAATTCAATCCCATTATTTTGAGATACTGAGGAATAAATTTTTGATAAAATGTTTGCCTGTCAATATGATATACAGTTATCACAGTTTTATTTTCTTATTTTATACAGGCATCAAAGCTGTAGACTCCTTGGTGCCCATTGGACGTGGTCAGCGTGAGTTGATCATTGGTGACCGTCAGACTGGCAAGACTGCACTTGCTATTGATACTATCATCAACCAGCAGCGTTTCAACAAGGGCGATGATGAGAAGAAAAAGTTGTACTGCATTTATGTTGCCATTGGTCAGAAAAGGTCAACCGTGGCGCAAATTGTAAAGAGGTTGACTGATGCTGGTAATAATATTGAATATTTTATTTGCTTCAACTATGCTTAGTTTTAGAATAGTTATGTCTCATGTCTTAGCTTATAATTTTTTGTGATAGGTGCTATCAACTACACCATCATTGTATCGGCTACTGCTTCCGATGCTGCGCCATTGCAGTACCTTGCACCTTACTCTGGTTGCGCCATGGGAGAATACTTCCGCGACAACGGCAAACACGCCCTTATCATTTATGACGACTTGTCCAAACAAGCTGTTGCCTACCGTCAGGTGAGATACAATTTAGAAAATATATTTTAGTAATTCGTAGATAGAATTTTCAGGAAATATTTTATCAAATCACAAATATAGATAAGTTACAGAAATTTAAATAAATTCATTTGTAGCTAGCAGTTTTAACAAGTTCAAGGCTTGGGATTATCTGAAGCTGACAACAATTTCATAACAAAAAGATTTGACACTGGCAATTAGATTACTTAATCTGTTGAAACAAAACTATAGAAAGGAATTGTACTAATGTATGTGGTATACATTATGTATACCCTTACAAAACTACTATCTCTTAGTTCATATTACCCTCACTCCTATTTATATTAGTTTCCCCAGGGACACAGTCTGAATTTATACAACAAACCCAAACTGCCAATGTACAGATAACCAAGTGGTGGAAATATGGAGTAGCAGCCTATTGAAGAAAGATTCTAATAGTTTAATAATAGACTTATCTATGTCCATCAACAGAAGACCCTATCCAAGGCTGAAACATACCGATACCTGGGTATGTCAAAGAAATGAGGCAGATATGAAACAGTCAGTTTGCAAAGTGTTTTATGCACGCTTGACAAAAGTGCTCAAAATCTTTTGTTGGGCGTAAATAAGACACACGCATATAACGGTTGGGTCATGCCTGTCCTTATGTATACCTTCGGCATACTCAGGTGGACTCAGACCGAACTGAATGCTCTGGATAGAAAAGTCCGAAAAGTAGTACTGGTTGAGAGTTAGTTCCTCAGTTTGGTGTGCCTTTTAGAATAGGCCTCCTCCAACTGCTTTCATTGGACTCTGCTGCTACCCTTGTCCAGTATGGTCTCAAGGTCAAATGTATATCCTCTTCCTATCTTTCGGTTGGGCGACCTTATTTTCTATTTGTGGTTAATTTGAGGTTTTAGACCTTTTAATATATAATGGTATGGTAAAAGCCACTAAAAAAAACCTGTGGTTTTTACCTTACCATTATTTTAAAAGGTCTTAAACCACAATAAATTTCGAAAGAAATAATTGCATCGCCTGTTTATGTACATCTGTATTTTCGTCTTAAGATTGATATTTATATTGAAATATAAACAATTTTTTATATTATTTGGTCAAATACAGAACGAAAAATTACATTTCTGTCACCAATTAGGAAGCTGTGGACTAACTGAATAAAAGCATGTTATTAAATGTGTATAATGTTGCAGATGTCGCTGCTGCTGCGTCGTCCTCCCGGTCGTGAAGCTTACCCTGGTGATGTGTTCTACCTCCACTCACGTCTGCTTGAGCGTGCCGCCAAAATGTTGGTTTCAACTTAAATTTTATATTCTATTTCATATCTAAATTAAATATTGCCAATATTGTATGAAAAAAAAATTTTTTCTCTTAATTATTATAGAGGTAATTGAGCAGAGAAGTGTTGCGCTCTTATGCATGTGTAGTGCTCTTAGATATAATATGATAGGACCCTTGCACATTTCTTGTTAATAATATATTTATATAAGGCATAAACATACGATTATAAACATATCCTTTCATAATTTCGCAAAATTGCCATTGTTGCAAAAAATTTATCTCCATTTCATAGTTATAACATTGAGTATGGAGTCTTGGGTTCTGTTCTACATGCTTTTATGTTAAATTATGGTTGTATAATTTATTTTTTTATTATTACCTATTGGTTTTTAAAGGTCGGACAAGATGGGTGGTGGTTCCCTCACTGCTCTTCCCGTCATTGAAACTCAGGCTGGTGATGTGTCGGCGTACATTCCAACCAACGTGATCTCCATCACTGACGGTCAGATCTTCTTGGAGACTGAGCTCTTCTACAAGGGTATCCGACCAGCCATTAACGTCGGTCTGTCTGTATCCCGTGTAGGATCTGCTGCTCAGACCAAGGCCATGAAGCAGGTTAGATTAAGTTTTTATTATAATTTATTATAGTAATTTTTTTCGAACTTTGGGGTTGTACATTATTTTGTTTGAGTTCCTACTGTAGTACTAGTTGGAGTAAGTCCCTCAGTTTGGTGTGCCTTTTGGCATAGGCCTCCTCCAACTGCTTCCATTGGGCTCTTGATTGTCCAGTATGATCCCAAGTTCAAGCAGATATCGTCTTCCCAATTTTACTTGCATAAAACTTGGTGGTATATAATTATTGTGGTATGAGAATTTTTATTTCGATCTTAGATGATTTTAGTTACATATTTTTTAATTATGATTCAATAATGTTATGATATTGACTTTTAACTTTTCACTTTTTTATGATATAGTAATTAGCGTCAAAGTATTGGCATACATTTTAATTTAATAACTCCACAGTATTAAATATATTATTAATTACATGTTATTAAAAGTTTTGTATATTTTAAAATTTCCCATCCTATTTTGCAGGCTTAGGACTGTGTTTATTTATTGCAACATTCACAGTTGAACACTGAATCATAAATTGCGTTATTATGATATTTGCCATAGTTAGCATGCTTGACAAGTGTATAGGCAACCTGATTCGTTTCCCTCTGTCGCCTCTTCCGACACCCACTGGATGATATGGGGTAGTGGACGTTCTTACTTTGCCCCTACATGGTACATATCACGGTATGATATTAATTTAGTAACCAGTTATAGAAAGGGAAAAAAATTAAGCTAGTATCAAAAATAAAATCTGACATCTAAAAGTTTACAGTTTATTTTAATACAAAGTTAACAGTTTCAATTAACATTGTTGTTTGATTTTGACCTTTATGTATGCTATGAAATAAGTATATAAATGTTTAACTACAAAATTATTTGAACAACTGGTTCCAGTATATATTTCTCACCTCCTATTTCTTCATAAAGTAGTAAGTAAGTAGAGCTACCAATCCTTACACGCCATAAATTAAATAGACATTGACCTTCCTCAGGTGGCCGGTTCCATGAAGTTGGAGCTGGCTCAGTACCGTGAAGTGGCTGCTTTCGCCCAATTCGGCTCTGACTTGGACGCCGCCACTCAGCAGCTGCTAAACCGTGGCCAGCGGCTAACTGAATTGCTCAAGCAGGGACAGTATGTGCCAATGGCCATCGAAGAACAGGTATGTTGTTTTTAAATGTTTCAAACAATTGAGTTTATTCAAATTCTTTCGGAAAAGTTATATTAAGCTAGAATTTAGTTTTGTGATTAATTACACATATTTTGTATATTTTATTATTACGTTTTATAAAAAAGTCCTAGGACACCTACCTATACAGGGCTATTTTTAAAGAGTACCCAAAGGACATTGTAAAAACTTTCCTAAGAACCAACATATATTTGACAATTACCAAAAGTCTTATCCTGAATTATGCATTAGATAACATTCAATAGGTAGTAACGGACACTTCTGAATTGTGAAATCAAAATAAAAAGGATTTTTTAGATTTTGAACTTTTAGCTATTTTCTAATACTAATGTGCTGCGTTTATGGGCTCCTGTGATTTGGCCAATTGCACAATACCTTCACTGACATATTTCAAAAGTTGTCATAAACTCAATTATATTATGAAAACGTTAATATTTTAAAATATACCTCGGATTAATATATGCCACAAGGGACTGGGATATAGTAAAATCATCTGTTTTACTACTATTGTAATCTCATTTGCCAAATCAGCATTGTGCCACGAAAAAAAAAACGTCAATAACGTTGATAGGTGACAAGATGTTAAAATAGATAGACGTCAAACGTGCGATCAATTTTGTTTGAAATAATTTAAAATTAAAAATTTTGTACAGCAGACTTCAATATCACGATATAGTATTATTTGCTGACGATACCTCTTTAATTTTCAAACTGAAACGGCAGTCAATTAAATATGACGATGTAAATAATGCTCTATCGAAACTAGTACATTGGTTTAACGCCAACAATTTGCTCTTAAACGGCAATAAGACAAAATGTATTAAATTTACAATACCTAATGTAAAACATTCGAAAACCAATGTGCTCTTAAATGGGGAGGAGTTGAGTCTTGTGGATACCACTGTTTTTCTCGGTATTACTATTAACGCGAAACTTCAATGGGGCCCCCATATATCTAAATTAGCAAGCAGACTTAGTTCTGCAGCATATGCTGTAAGAAAGATTAGAAGTCTCACAGATGTTGAGACAGCTAGGTTAGTGTATTTTAGTTACTTTCATAGCGTAATGTTTTATGGAATTTTGCTATGGGGTAATGCGACTGATATTGAAGCTATATTTGTTTTGCAAAAGAGAGCCGTACGGGCGATTTATAATCTAAAGTGTAAAGAGTCCCTTAGAGAAAAATTTAAAGAAATAAACATATTAACTTTGGCATCGCAATATATTTATGAAAATGTAATGTATGTACATAAAAACATAAATAGCTTTAATAAGAATAAGGATGTTCATACCTTAAACACTAGGAACAAACATAAGCTTGTAATGCCACTTACACACTCCACAGAATTAGTAATTCATTTATGGGGCAATGTATACGCTTTTACAACAGAATCCCAGAACATGTTCAAAGTTTGTCAATAAACAAGTTTAAAAGTTTTATTAAAGAAAAACTGTACAAAAAGGGTTATTATAATATCAAGGAATACATGAATGAAAATAACCCCTGGGAATAAGGTGATCGCCACCATGCTGGTTCTATGAAAATTCATTTAAAATTGTATAAACAAAATTATTGTTAAGTGAAATTATGTTTAAAAAAAAAGTCCCGTGGGTTTCTTGCTGGTTCTTCCCAGGACAGAGGTATTTTCCGAACCAGTGGTAAATAAAATAATGACTTTCAATAAGTATTATGTAATAATCCATATTGAATAAAAATCATTCTATTCTATTCTATTCTAAATATAAGTTATTTAAGAATAACTCAAAAACTATTGGTCTCACCTTGATCAAATTCATATGGGACCACGCGAGAACTATCTGCTTTCATATAAAAAAATAATCATCGAAATCGGTTCACCCAGTACAAAGTTATGAGGTAACACACATAAAAAAAAAACAAAAAAAAACAGTCGAATTGAAAACCGTCTCCTTTTTGGAAGTCGGCAGAAAATACATTTCTGCAAATGTTTTCGGAATCTAAGTGCACTGTGCAGTTTGTTTGTTATGCGATAGATTTACCTAATCACAACCTGAGTTTTATTTATTGTATAAGTGCTAGGCTAAGACTGAACTGCTTACATTAGCAATAAATAACATAGTAATAATGTTTCTTAAAAATAAAACATAACCTCAAAATCTCTATGATAACTGCTAATATCTATGTTTTCAGAAGTGTCCGTCAGGAGTTATTGTTCTTACATACAATTATGTGTAATTTCGGACTTAAAAAGGTATTTTTGTTTCACTGTTGGTTCTTAGGCGAACATTATATGGACGCAGAACAATGTCATTTAAACTTAAGTTCAAATATATAAATAATAATATACCGTTATTGCCGTTTTTGAAAATACGAGTAAATAAGGCTTATACTTTTATTTGAAATCATCCCAAATTGAATGTGATTTATGGGCAACAACTACGCGTACGCGCACTCCTCTGGGTGCGATTCAATTCTAGTTTTTGCCGACCGATGGGCCCTTACGAATTTGTGCGTGCGTACTAAAATAGTAATCGTTGCATATTTATGAATGACAATCAGTTAAAATAATACATTGCCATGCATTTTGAATTAAAAAGATAAAAAGGACAGAATGTTTGATTTTTTTTTTAATTTTAACTTTTCTTCACCATTTGCCTAAATTACTTATTCTGAACCGGTTATTGCAAAATTAACCTGTATATCTAATTTCATTAAGAAATTAGAAATTTAATCATAACTTAAAGCTAAGGACAATGAGTAGTGCAAGGATAAGCATCAGGTTTTTGACTAATTTTGCACATGCTAGATCAATTTGTAATTTTTATGTTTGGACCATAATTGACAATAAGACCACTGCTGAATATGGTCCTCTCCCGTTTTATGGAAGATTTGACTTTATCACCATGCTTGGCAAATGGCTTGACCATCTCAATACTAGACATTTTGCATTTTGGACCACTACCATACGGCAAAGGTTTCCTAGGAATTATACGAAATTCTAGTTTATTAATATTAATATTACCATAAAGTTTATAAAAGTTAATATAAATTTATTAATTTAGGTTGCCATCATTTACTGTGGTGTGCGAGGCCATTTGGACAAGTTAGACCCCACCAAGATCACAGCATTTGAGAAAGAGTTCACTCAGCACATTAAGACTAGTCACCAAAGCTTGTTGGCTACCATTGCTAAGGATGGACAGATCACACCAGAGTCTGATGCTGCCCTCAAGAAGATCGTCACTGACTTCATGGCTACCTTTGTCCAATCACAGTAAAATCTTAGGATAATGTAAAAATATTCTTAAGATTTTTACATGTTACGTGAAAATGTAAATCAACTTAACAAGTAACAATCTTAAGTAAAACTCCAAGAGTAACAGTTGCCATTGGAAGTATTATATTATTATAATAATTAAAATGCAATACTTCCATTAGCAGTCTTCAGTAGTTTATCATTCGTATTGACTGTATTGAATGTGAATACAATCATGCAATGTATTTATCCCTTGATGATCAAGGAGTGGTTAATAAATATACACATACATGTACATATTGTTTTATTTATTCCAATCACTTAGCAACAGTTCTTAGTATACAAAAGCAAGTGGTGTAATTAAAAATTTTGTACAACCGACTTCAATATAAATAAAAAAAGAACTTCATCAATGTAGTCGAAAGTCAATTAAATACGCATTATTAAGGATAACTCAAATACTACTGGTCAGATCTTGATCCTACTTATATGGGACCACATGAGAAGCACCAGCTTATGAATAAAAGAATAATCATCAAAATCGGTTCCCCTAGAAAAAAGTAGAGGTAACACACAAGAAACATACAATCAAACAGAGAACCTCCTTTTTTTTGAAGTCTTGAAAAATACGGGAAATATCCGTTCAGAGGGGCAAGATTCGCACTGATGGTTTTCCATCTTCGACGCAAATTGGAAACGCGCGTATTGTCACCTCCAGGCACACTTTGGTAGCTCCTTTAAAAAAAGAACACCCTCTTTTATGCCTCTTCAGGCAATGCGCGTCGGAACATACAACTACCAGACTTCATTACCACCTGTACAAGCTCAAAAGACCTCTCGCGAACTCGTTATGCAAGGACCACGAGACATGCAAGTATGAACACCTAGAAGTAATAAGGCGAGTAGTGTCTCGACATAAAAATAGTAATATTTTCGTTGTTTAATTGATCTATATATTTAATCTGGGTACTAGGATCTTTATTCTAATATATTAAATTAAAATTCTAAAATAGTAGCAGAAGTTAAAAAAGGCTTTAAAATGCACTCTTTGTAACAAAAGTACAATTTACAATACCTAATGTAAAACATTCGAATACGCTCTTAAATGGTTGTTTTTCTTGGTATTACTATTGACGCGAAACTTTAATGGGGCCCTATTAGTTACTTCATTTCGTTAATAATACTGTAATTTTTTGCTATGGAAGAGCGAAGTCGCCTGTTACAGGCATTATTTTGCTTACTAGGTGACCTCGATCACTGATCATATAATGTAACTTTAATGTTTGATGAAATAAATTATTTATTATTATTATTAAGTTCGCCATATGTACTACTTTGTGCATGAAAGTGTAAATAAATAAATATATTTTATAATTATATAATAACCCTTTTTAAAAAGGTTTTGATAAAAAATTTACAACAGTTTCATAGACAGGCTTCGAATATTTTCCAGGCCTTAGTTAATTATACCTATGCCTAGGTGTGTTAATGTTTATATAGTTTACTTATCTGTATAACGTTAGTGTATAATAAAGAAATATTAAAAATAGTGAAAATTAAATAAAAAATGTAATGGTATGCTGTGATTAAATAAACCGCAACAGCCGTTAGCGCATCAATAATCTATACATATAATAAAACTGTAAATAGCAGATGTCTGTACATTTTATATTTTTGTAATAAAAGTGATTGAGGGGTACTAAAAATAAGTAATTAAATACATTTCTACCATTTTTAGAATTTTCTGTCTGTCTGTCTGTCTGTCTGTTTGTTTGTTAACGTATCACGTATAAAGTACTAATTTATATCATAAGAATTGTTAAGGAAATTATAAAGTGTATCTTCGTGTTACATTTAGTCTTTATTTCATTAAAATCTGTTCATTCCATCAAAAGTTATGATAAATATTCTGAAGTATGGGTAGGGAAGCATAGGTACGAATTTGCTCAACGGTGGTTTTGTTTGAGTCATCAAGTGCATTTTAAACTAATATCATATCATAAATCATAGTTAAATTATGTAAAATAATGATATAATTATATATATCTAAAACGCAGTAAACAAAAGTATTAAAGAACGTATTAAATATATTATACAAAAATATATTAACCTTATTAACTAAATCTGAAGCACAATAGTTAACCCATTTCTTCGATAGATGGTGCTGTTGTGAAACATTACATTTTGCAATGTGGTTTTTTCCTGTAAATGAGTTTTCATATTTACTGCTAATCTTTATTATATTACTCGCTGCCCTACTGCGTGTTCACAAACTCAATTTATTCTTTACCGCCGAGTACTCTATGTGGTAAATCAAATTTTAAAAGAGCTATTAACAATTGCGTTGGTTTTGGCGAGAGTCAATCTTTTTTTTTGCTTACTGTGCAGGCACTGATTTATAAGTTCTCTTGCGTTTTATATAATGTATCAATCGCGTCAATTAATCTCTTTTATTTTTATAATTGATGTTAGCAGCGCCATCTCTCTTTAAATATATACATATAATAAAAATGATGATAACATGTTGTGTCTCTGTACATTGTATATATATTTTGGTGGCTAAAATCATTATGGGGAACTGAAAATAATTAAATAAGAACATTTTATAATTTTTAGAATTGTCTGTCTGTCTATTTGTCTGTTATTATATGAACGCATCACGTCTAAAGTAAACATCTTTTATTTTCAAAGAAATCGTTAAGAAAATCATAAAGCGTATCTTCGAGTTACATTTAATCTTTGTTTTATTAAAATTGGTTAATTCTATCGAAAGTAATGATTATTGTTTTGAAATGTAGGTTCGAATTTGTTCAATGGCGCCATAAAATCTCAGAAATAGTAATAAAAAGATTTGTGTGTAAAAAAAACCTTCCATAATAATTAATATATTTATACTTAAAACACAAAAAGAGATTTAAAAAGGATGTTTTCTCACACAAAGGACGTAATAGATGGAGTTGTACAAATTACAAACTTTTCTGAATTGCTGTGTTGAGATTTTTCGCCGATGAATCGTATTGAGACTTACTGAAGAAATTTGTATCCATCGAAGCCATACGACGGAACCCGACCAAAAATAAAAATATTGCAACGAAATGTCGTGATATTGTATTTATAATATACGCAAAATCAGTACTGCCATTTTAGCGCTTTGGGAACTAGATTAAGCGCTTTTTGGTATGTATAGCGCGCATTTCGAAATTTTAGCACCTAGCTTAATCCAGCGCTTTTTTGGTGTATTTAGCACACATTTCAATATTTTAGCGACTAGCGGGTTATTAACTATTTTATAGCAGCACTATAAAGTGTCCACATTACCGATAATAATAATAATGACCATTATTATTTTTTCCCACAAATAGTACATTGCAGTTTATCTTTTTCAAACATATTTTTTTCACAAAACAAAGAGCATGGGAGACGAGTCCAAACTAGGATACCCTGTGCTATGGATCTCCTGGCTTCCCCTTTAGGATGATCAACTTGATTTTTTTACCGACGACTATAAGCGGGGAAATCCCCTTTATTAAAGTTTTCGTTCATGGTTTTGGCAACGCATTTATTTTGCTTTATTCAGTTTCAGTCAGTTGCTTAGAGCACAGCTAAGTTAAAAGTTACTTAGAAGTTATAACACAAAGAAACTGTGTAGCAACCGCAATCAGATGCTGACATCTGAAACTAAGTTGCGAAATACATTGCACTTTTAAACAATTAATGACATTTTTATTGTTCGTACAGTACTAACTACTGTTGACAGCAATTGCCATAATTATAAGTCGATGTCCTGCGAAGTATTGATACATCAAAAAAATATTGCCAGAAAAAAAAACTTAATGTTGTTTTCTTTATTATGATTATATAAAAAAACACAAACTTTGTTTGTAGTTAATTTAGTGCGAAATCTAGGGCTTTTTAAAGCGCTGTTTTCATGAAATCTAGCGCTTTTTATGTTGTCCTAGAGCTGAATGAGTTTTTTTTATCTGGCAGCACTGCCCAAAAACCCTCTATTAAGAATTAACTTTCCTTTCAGTTTTAAGCGCGTTCAGTTCCCAGTTACAGTGAGCGTGTGTTATGCGATGACCGTAAATAAAGCGCAAGGTCAAACTTTACACGTTGTAGGAGTGTACCTCAGTACTGACTGTTTTGCACATGGCCAACTCTATGTTGCTTTTTCCCGCGTTAGTAGCCCCCGTAACCTTTTTGTGTACACCCCGGCTAAGCCTACTTCTAACTTCGTTTACACAGAAGCTCTATCATAAACGACTTAGAACTTTGATGATAATGATTTATTTAGTTACCACTTATTGATACAGTAATGAAATAAATCGTTTAATATTCTCTTACCTAAACGACAAATTCTTTATGTAAAACCTGTATACGCGAGCTACGCCGCGGGCACAGCTAGTCATTTTAATAAATTCGTCCGCACATTGGCCTGAACCGAAGCAAACTGAACGACCTTCCAAGCTTCCAACGTGTGGACGCGATCACAATTTCTTGGCCAATATCTCTGCCAACACATTCGCCACTTTGTTGGCCAACGTGTAGAGCCGCCGTTAGGTACATTCGCCATACGCCTATCTTGTCCTTCGGGACGTAATGGCGCCTCTTCACGTTGGCTAACACAGTGGCGAATGTGTTGGCAGAGTTATTGGCCAAGAAATTGTGATCGCGTCCACACGTTGGAAGGTCGTTCAGTTTGCTTCCGTTCAGGCTCTCCGCTAGGAGTAAAGTATTCTGTGGTTCAGGCCAATGTGCGGACAAATTTATTAAAATGATTATTGATGCGTTAACCGCTGCTGCAGTTTATTTATTCACAGCATACCACTATTTTTTTATTTAATTTTCACTGTTTTTTATATTTAATATTTTTAATATAAATTTTTAATATTTCTTTATTATACACTATCGTTATACAGATAAGTGAACTATATAAACATTAACACACCTAGGCATAGGTATAATTAACACTTACAACTAAGGCCTGGAAAATATTCGAAGCCTGTCTATGAAACTGTTGTC